TACAAAATCACGACGTTAATTATAAAAAAAATTGCAATAAACGCAAATGAATTGCGCAAAAATAATTGGACGGGCCTTAAAAAAGTTGTCAACTATTTTCCAACGCAATAGTGGACAATATCGATAAAGGAATGATGACATGAGCGTTATTTTGTATAATCTTTTATGATATTCTAAAATATTTTAGTTCCCAACCCTTATATCACTAAATTAATTAGTTGTAAAACGGATGTAATTTTTCTTCATCACTCATCGTCTTGTTTTTTTTTAATTCGACGTCACAACAAAAACTCGTCTGTTAAAATTTGTTCTAATAACCGTTGAGGGATAAGCATGAAACAGTTCAAATAACTTCAAAATGTCACTAAACAAATCACCAATTTTGAGCTTTTAAGCCTTTTTAGTCTTTTTTTAAAGGACCAGACCACTTCCAGCGATCGTCATGCAAGATTGTCCTTAAAATGTTTCAAAACAACTCCTTCATTGTCCTAATCTGATTGAATTCAGGCATTATATTTACGCTTTTATTACGTCTCTCTTGTCGTTTGTTTGTATGTTGTTTGATTGCTATTTTTACGTTGTTTACATGTTGCTTGTTTGTATATTGTTTGTATGATGTTTGTATGCCGTTTGTATGTTATTTGTGCCTATGTTGTTTTTATGTTGTATGTATCTTGTTTAAATGTTGTCTGCATGTTGTTTGTATGCTAATTTTTATGGAATAAAATGGAATTAATTTATAAAACGAATGCAGTACCGCAGACATCTCATTTTATTTATTTCTTCCTTCACAAGCTACTTTCTTACGACCGCAAAGAATTAATATAAACGCTCGTTTACAGTCTATTTGGTTGTTTAATTAGAACGAAGGTGCGTTGCGTGTTGCTTTATTGCGTCTAGTTGTGTCACATCACATCACCTTAAACTGAGTTACATTATTGTATATGTGTGTGTTGTGTGTTTGGTGTGTATGTGTGACTATTGAAGAGTTTTAAAAAGCTTCTTGTATTTCATTTCATTTTATTTTCAGTCAGTCAGTTGAATGATGTTGCCACCTGCAAGGAATGGTTCTACAAGTTTCCTTTTAACAACCGCCTCTGGAAAATGAATGATAGAGCCAACTTTTCCGTTAACATTCAACATTCATTTTCGTAGTGCTTGCAACAGGCATCTCGATTCTCTTTCATTGATTTTAAATATCGAAAACGGTGTTATTTCTTCAAAACATTAACTTCCTGGTTAGGGTAGATCTAACTCTTCTAACTTCTATTCTTTTGCTTTTCAGCATAAGTTCTTAAAACCCTAGTCATTCAACAACACGACAATAATAACGCAATAATCAGCTTTTAACAAATGATCCCATCTTTCGATCCTATCTTTAATAAAGGTCCCAGAAATTTCCAAAAGTTTCAAAGACGTTTTTCTAAACTTACAAGTGTTTTAAAAAGTTTCAAAAAATTATAGAATGTTCAAGATTCATATTTTTGATAAGAATTATAAAATTTACAATATTATTATCAGAATGAAAAACTTATGAAAAATTTTATAAAAAATTTGTTGAGAGTAATCTTGATAACTGAACAGAATGAGGCAAGATGTTTATCAATTTCGTAAACTATACAGCAATTCCAAAAACGTTGTTAGTTGTATAATTCGATCAACCATCAACTTTAAAAAATATTTCATTCACTGTACCACCTATAACGTTATCGAGTTAGATGCTTGTAATACAGATAAAATTGCATCTAAATGTGTTTAAAAGTGTTATAACATTTATAATTGAATCTGATTGAATTGCATCCCTCAAAATGCAAATACCATGTAAGGCTCTTCAAATGAACGCATCACATCTCATGTAAAGATATTTTCATCTCTAACCATACAATGAACATCCGCAATAACATGTTCAGACCGTGCGTACATTCATTGCTTCCAAGTGGAAGAGTTTTAATTAGGAAGATGCATTAAATCCTAACTCGTTTGTTTGTCTTTTTATTTTGTTACCATTGGCAACAACTGCACAGCGATGTTATCTTGAAAGATCTCAATAGATAGTAACAAAACCTTCAATTCGTTCCATCTTGTTCATTTGTTACAATATTTTCTTAAATAAATTCTTAAATGTCCCAAACTATTTACAAAATGTTTTCAAAACGGTTCATTTTATTTTCCATTTCTTCTTACAATGGTTAAATTGCGTGATTTGTTAGAACGCAACCAACCAATCACTGCTTTGCGGACAGACACAACCAAACCAAAGTTTGCTTGAATTCGCAATAGACCCAATAAACTAACATTGAATTGTGTATCGAATACAAAAAGACATCTTTAACGTGAAACATTACAAAACACTTTTCAACGGCTAATTACTGCAAAATATAACAATTTATCAACCATTGAACAGCAACGAAAATAATTAAAATCTTTCAAGGGTAAAGTAAGAGATTCATCAAAATAACATCCACGAATGTAAGAGACCAAGTTGGCATCATCAACAGCAATTATAAATTACAATAACCATCTGCATAAAAGGAAACACCATCATTTGTACACGAAAAAACAACACAACACGCACACACAACCTCCAGAAGGGATAAAAATCTGGACCAAGCACTCACCGAAACATCCTTACGATCTTAAATTTTAGAGAATGACTTTTTCATTGAAATGACTTTAACGCATCTCACGTTTTTAGCCACAATCAATCACTCCATGTTCATTTCCACGAGCACAAACATAACAACAAAACAATCTGCCCTGCAACACAGCAGATCAAGTCACATAGTACCACAGAAGACAGCCCCACAAAACACAACAGCATTCAACAACACAGGACAAAACAGCACACAACAAACACCACATATCGCATCCCAACAGCGCGCAACGTAAGTTGTACACAACAGCGTGCAAAACTTCATACAACAGCACCCAACACTGACCACAACACATCACGCAACAGCATAGGATTAAGATATTACGTAGCATCCAAGATATCTTAAATCACCTACCTTCTGATCTGACTCATTCGTCAAAAAGTTATAAAACATAGATCAAATCGCGTCGTTGTAGAGTAATTCATAATTTCATGTTTCTCGTTAGCTATGTATATATTTATCAATAGATCGGCTCCATAATGTTTTTCTAATACGTTTATTAGTTTTTTCCTCTTGTTATTTTTTTAAAATTTATAGGTAGTTATAAGGGCTACTTATTTTTTAATGAAAAATTTAAAAACACTGTTCCGATTCACATATAGCTGCTTTGTTTGTTGCGCCCAAACCATTCAATAGTTTTTAATACCTAAAGTTGATACTCCGTTGCATAAAATGTGTGATCATTTTATTATCGATCTTTTTAAATTTCGTCATGGCGGCCCAGCCCGATCACTTCCAGAAACTTCTAGAACAAAATTGAACAATGTATGTGCAAAACAACAAAAACAAAAACGATGTGCCTTAAAACCAGCAACAAGAAAACTGAAGAAGTAGAGATAATTAAAAGAGATAATTATCACAAACGTTTTTGCGCTTCAGTTCTGTAAATGAACAACCGCGCGAACGAATGCATAGAGATAATAAAAGCAATAAGCATACATTTGTAGGTGTACTTGAAAGTACTTAAACATATTATTTTTCGCGTATATTCTCAACCACACACACGCAACATGTAAAAATATGCAACACTTACACCTACGCAAATGAAAATGCGTGTTCATGTTTATGCTTACATAATAATTGAGCACAAATATAGCAATTATCATTACATAACATTACATAATTCCATTTGTTTTCATTGTATTGCATATTCATTTGTCATTTCGTATGTTGCAACAAATTCTGCGTTTGTCGGTTTGATTTTTTTAAAATAAAAAAAACATTTATCCTTAATAATTGAACATAAATATGCACGGCAGGTACACACGGACGCATCCTATACAGGCACGTACACGCAACCACGCATGCGTGCATGTATGGAAATGCAAAAACGTGAATGGAAAGCATAAAATAATGTTGGAATGAGTCTCTGGAGTAGAAAGTCTCAAGTGCATAAGGAGAACATGCACTTGTCCTGCTTGCCTGCCCGCGTTGCATGCATGCCACGTAAATAACTGCAAATGATCGGCAGGTTTCTCTTGCATGGAAACATCTTCGTGATAACATTCTAGTCAGTCAATTTATTTACTTTCAATACGTTCTAAAACATGCAGAAAAATTCACATATAGAGACAAAAATAGTTCAGAAATTAATATATCATCATATCATTGCTTGTGCGGTACATATCGGTCATCAGATTTGGTTGAGCTGCCCCGTATATGTTGATCCAAGATATAAATTCAAGATATATGAGCTGCATTCGATCAATGTTTTAGAGTATATATTTTTAGATATGCTGGCTTCTGCCATAAATGATAAATCGCATCATTTAGAAAGAAACTGACAGGCAAGAAGGAGAAGGAACCTTAAAAGGGGGAACCAACGACAACAACTTTATAACATCAAAGTCGAGTTTGTTCACTGCACCTACACACATCGCTCAGTGCACACACGCGTGCCTCTCTTATTGAAGCAGTGAATTCAATTCATTCAGCACAAATACAAAAATAAACAGCATGATCGTTTAAATCTTTTGAAATGCATCTTCTCCGATTTGCCTCGAACTTAGAAAGTCGGCGCACTGAATCGAATTAAATGTGAGGAATAGATCGGTTGTCATAAAATATTTTTCCAGTATTCCGTATTTAGCTCCAAGATTACATTTCACTCTGCGCGCCATGTGATATAGGTATATGTGCGCCATCCTACGTGTATCGAAACGGACTGCCACACAAGCGTAAAAAAAAGTAGCACACTCACACCCGCAACCAAGTCACCAACCTTCAGAAGTGAATAGAACGATCTAACGATTATTATCATTCTAAAATGTACAATAAAAATATAACGGTAGCATCAAACTCCTAATTTTTTTTTCGATTCAAATAATTTACAAGAAGCTAACAAATTTAAGAAATGCGTTTTATACCATTTCATTTAAATTAACAAAAAAACATAATGAAAATTGGCAGCATCACAGACGACTAGCTTAAAAAGCATAAACAATACGAAGCCGCATAAATTCAAATAAGAGCGCGAGCATACCGTATTCACATCATGAAGAAACGAATGGAGCTCGTAAAATACAATTTAAATGGAAAATAAAACGACCCATTTTATGCCTTCGACTCTTACGGCACGTACAATTCTTAAGTCGTTCACCATTTTTCATAAATGTCATCCTGCTTTTACATCGTTTATAACGAAAAAAATTTATGATTGCGTTTATTTAGACAAAAGTTTGAAAAGGTCATAAAATTTACAGGTGAAGAAATCAAACCGATACAGTCATAATTATAAACATACCACAGGGCAGTCACCATGGAGTCATGTAGTCAGAGAGGTCCGTATCAGCTTTTAATCAACTTTTTCCATTTTCGTTTAGAAATTTTTTTCATTTTTTAAGACATCCTTTTTAACATGACCACCGTCATCGTCGCCTCTGTGGTTGTCGCTGCTGCCATTATTTCCGTCCACATTGTTGTCGTCATCTTCGACATTACCTTCATCATCCGTGTCAACATCATCTCCGTCATCATCATCATCATCTCCGTCATCAGTCTCGCAACTATCATCATCGTCATCGTCGTCATCATCATCGCTGTCAGAGCCACTTGCAGGAACGATGTTGACGAGTTGATTACGTGCTTCACCCGCCTCTCCATCCTTCACGACGAGGTCAGCTGCCCTCTCCAGAAGGTCAACATCGAGACCAAGGTCACTTTTCTTCAAATCCAACTGATAAACAACAGACAAAATAAGCAAATTTATTAGCAAGTTGCTTTAAAACGAAAACCAACTCTTAAATTGAAAACTTGAAGTACCTTGCCGATTTCAGAGGCCAGGCCTTTCAGGATGCTGGTCCTAAAGATAACAAATAGCAACAATTAAATGAAGTTAAGAGAATGAACGAAGTACCACGACAGACGCTAACAATGATGATGGCACTTTTTTCAATCATTGTAAGAGTGTAATCATTGTAAGAGTGCAATCAAAGCACAATAAATTAGAAAGTATATTCATTTGGAGAGTGGGTGAGCGTATGTTTACAACTTTACAAATATTAAAAACGTTTTTGTTGGCAACTGTTGGTTTAATTTTTCAACATGGTAGTGAATTTCGTTGTTTATTTTACAACTTTGGACATCAGAATCATGAACCAACAAATTTATTACAGAAAATTTCAAAAATTGAAATGAATGAAAGACAACTAGTTATCCATTGCTTACGGCATGCTCACACATCACTTGCATGACGACCTGCAAAGAACGCTCGGCAAACAATCGCACTGACTGTAACGAAAATAAAATATGCACAATCGCCGTCAGCACAATCACACAACAAAACTGCAAAAAAAAACAACAATCACTACTAAACAGAAAGGAACACGACAAAATGAAATAAAGAAAATAAAAAAAAGAAAGAAGAAGAAAACAAACTTGGCGTGTTGTATCCAGGAGCAGTAGTCGTCGATGTAGAGGTCGTTGAGGAGGTAGTGGTCATCGGCGTCCAGCAGCAACTTTCGAATCTTCAGCAGACAGCGAAGAACGTACTTCCTACCTTTCAAGCGTCGTATGCAACGAACATGAACAATTTTATCCAATACATTTTATATTCTTATGAACAAGTGTACTATTTGAAATCTGATCAGCTATTTGAGAATTTCAGAGACGACATCAAAGACGCCGGTGTCATCATCACAGTAGTGATTGTCATACATAATTCTCATCATCATTCTTATTAATGAAACCAGTATCATCACCACTATCATCATCATCACCATCATCGTCTAAGATAACCATCATCATCATCTAAGATTACCATCATCACCATCATTATCGTCATCATGGTACCTCTCTTGAGAATACAGCTGACATCTGTGAGGACAGCAACGGACAGTTCATAGTTCCTATAGAGAGGATATATCAGACTCCTCCTTATGCACGAAGTTATGACTTCATTAATATTCATGAACCTATCAAACCATGACAGCGTGCTGCTCAATTTGCATATCGTCCACCCCGATTCGACCTTTAAGGTTAAAATTGAAATAAATGCTGTTAAAGCAGATAAGAGCCTATCCGTTTAAACATTTTGACGTTGTACATCAGGCTTTCTTCCAAACATAATTGAATGATTTTCGCACCAAACCCCACAAACATGCTGCATAAGACAACTCTAATCATTTTCTATTTCTGCTCTTAATTGAGAATCTGGGAATCCCCGCCCAACTTTTTAAATCTAACACACGAAGCATTCAGAACAAACTGTATCGTATTAACTACCAGGCTTTTCTAATTTGAATGATATTATTTATCGTAGATCATTTGTTTCATTGACGTTCTTGATGTCACTACTGAACACTGGCGTCGAACTAACTTCTCATTCAATTCATAATTACCCGCCTGTCCCGTGCGTCAACCATCTACAAATGCTATCCCTATTTGAATGCTGGTGCTCTGATGCTAATGAAAATGTCAAAATGCTGTTGACTCATCAGTATGCGACCAAAATTATAAAACCAACTTGAATCTATATAAATCATTTTCTAACGAGGAACTAACATTTAATTATTTAATTAATAATTCATTCAATAATTATTTAATTTATCTATTTATTTATTCATTCATTCATTTTCATAAATTTACGCACCTTGATAGCAGAAGTTCCTTCCACTACCAATTTACTTGATCCACGCATTTTTGCAACAGTTACAATTCAAACGTTAAGTTTTAACTCAAATTAAAAGTTTTCCAACTGCAGTTTGATTGTAATGCTAAATGATACGGAAGTAGGGAAACATGGAAGAAAAACTGCTAACGGTGTTTTCAGCTTGAGTAGTCCTGTGGTCGTAGGCATAGGCGTACAGAATATCAACGAGTCCCAGGTACGTGTGCCGCAAGTCTGCCTCACTCAGCAAATGTTCAGCCGAACGTTAAGAAACATACTATACTCAACTGTCACTCGTTAATTAAACTAATGGAATTAATATTTAAAAAAAACAACACAAAAAATTATTATTAATCGTGTAATTGTAGGAAAATTCAGATGAATTTTAATGTGTGTATGGGATAGTTTCAACTACAGAGCCAAACATTAACAAAGGATATAATCCCGATGTGGAAGTTTCATCATCACTTCCTTCTCATCATCTGTGAACTCAACTTGACAAAATTAATACGTAAGATTAACGTGCATTTGAAATGAAAAAAACAATGACATCCATTATGAAGAAATGATGGTGATCTACATCACAATGCAATAAAACTACATCAGTTTGCATAACTTTTTATTAGAATTACAACATTTATTTTTATTTATTTTTTCCTTTGTTCGGCTCGATGACAATTATAGCGAGCGTGCCTCAGTCGTTTGCACTGACACTACAAATCACATTATTGTTATTTATTAATGTATAGAAATCGTTGTTACCCTTTTGAGAATCGTTTGACAGCCAGTCTGGAGCAAATGCTATGAGTTCATCAATGGCCCCTCTCTCATACAAATCTGCCCTGATAAAAGATTTAAATTTTAATTAAAAACAACCAGTTGGTCTATCACAAAAACTTACTTACTGATCAACAAAATTAAGCAAAACTCTCTTTAAACTAGCCATATTACATTTTAGTTTAATATAATTAATTTAATTTAATATAATAATATAAGTTTAATACATTTTAGTTTTACCATAATGTTCAGTTTACTAACTGAACATTACACATGCAAATAACGTCTTGTGAAATTAGGTTAAAATAATAAATTTGTATAAACTGATGAAGGGTTACTGACAGGTAATGTTCCTCATCGAAAGCAGCATCCTCAACATCCGTCCTCATCTTCCTCCTCATCTCTTCATCCACACCATCAACATTTTTCAAGTCAACCACATCATCCAACTCCTCCTTCAATATGGAACATTTAAATAGGTCAGTAAGGTGGGGTTATAAACCAATAGAAATACACTTAATATGTAAACAGTCTTTTTAATATATAGTTCTTTGAATAAATAATCCTTCTAAAAAATGTTTGAATTACTCAAAAAGATTAATTTGAAAAAGAGCCAGCACTTTTAACGTCTTGAAGACTCCACTCCTCAGATGCCCGAATCCATACATGGGTTTTTTGATAGAAACGTTGGTAGGGTCGTCATCTTCATCGCCGTCGTGAGTGACAGGTTGCTGATCTATGTGCCAGTCAATTTCGTCATCTTCCAACACCTCATTTTCTTCATCTTCCAAGTTACCAGAATTTGTTGACAGACCGTTTAACTTATCTGCCATAACAGGAAAAAAAACAGAATTTGTTGTTGTAGGAAGGTTTTAAAAAAAAATATATATTCCTCTATTGTTATAAGCAAAATAAAATTCAACATGCCACATATAAGTTTTCAAAGTTCTTTTTATTTCTGTAAATAACAGAAATAAGGCCTTGATGTATTAAAGTTTTACAAGCAATGAACACTTTAATGTAATATCCAAGTGAATTATTGATCCTCAAAATCATTGGCTGTTTAATTTACGAGAACATACCAGAAAGATGAAAGTTCAAATTTTATAGCATGCTTTCACTTATAAATTGGTTCATTCTTAATATTTTTATATGCATACATGAACATCATTTTTGTGTAAAATATTAGCGTCTGAAATTTACCGACACTATATAAATTATGTTACATTTTTTAAAATTGAAAGTATTAAAAACTTATTCAACATTTTTATGGCTGCTTTAAGCTTCAAACATAACAATTTTTTGCCATTATAAGTTACAAAATTATCATCAGCATGAAAAAAAAGAAACAGACCTGTTATTATTTCAATGGAGGGAGGTTTGGCTTCAGTTTTACCTCTGACAGTTAAAAGTTTGGTTAGCAGATCTAAATCAAGAAACTCTTCACCAGGGTTCGCTTTTGGAACTTTGATCCTAAAATAACCTGAAATGCAATTGGAATAAAAATTAAAAACAAAATTGATCTGGTTTAAAGAATATTTCCAACTACCATCATCATAAGCAGCTGTTTCTCTTCCATCTTCAATTAATTCATGGGAAAAGTTGAGCCTAAAAACAAGAATTATTTAAATTTAAAAGCAAGTCATTTAATAAATTGAAAATTCAATTGAAATAGATCATAAGAAATAACTACCTCAAATAATAAGGCTTGCAATAAAATTTGAACTCATGCCCATCTATGCATATCTCAGGTTCTGAATCAGCTGTAATCTAGTTTACACATAAAAAAAAGCAAAATCATTTAATAAAATTAATAAATAAATTACATAAAATTTTGAAATTTTTTTTACAAATTATTTTGAGATCCTAAGTATGATCTCATTGTGGCATCAGCACAAAAAAATACACTGTCTAAAAATTAAAAACATGACATGTTGTGATAGTCAGTTTATCTTTATTTATATAATTATATTCGACATTCTTTGCTGATTCTTTAATTTTAATATTAGAAAACAACAAAATCGCGAATATTAACACAACCAACCTTCACGTGTCTCGCCTTTATCAGAACCTCAACGAAGGACGCATCTTGCGTTATCCTGAAGTACGGTGTGATCATCATAAAAGTTTACTTTTAAAATTTTAATACGAAAAGTAAACCTAACTTTCAATTAAGAAGCACATGCATATTCTATTATATATATGCGAATAAATATGTACATATATGTATCATATATCTACATGTAATAATGCCAAAGATAATAAATAATAAATATGCCAAAGATGTTGTAATAAAGCATAGCCACACCTAATATGGCCTCGCTATCATAAAATTTCAGAAATCGATTCAAATTTTCCAAGCGATTATTTTCGATTTCGAATATTATCGTGCACTGCTCCGTGGTTATCGAACTATGGTTGCTAGTGGTCTTATATGTCTTAAATTAGTAGGTAGATCACTGATCATAATATAATGAAAATATCACTGTAATCAGTAATCAGATTTTAGAACTTTGGTCAAACTTTGGTTACATTTTTTGTTTTGTCATTTACTTTTTATTGTTACTCGATTTTTTAATCAGTTTTTCCCAACTGATGTTTATGGTTATGATTATGACATAATGGACTTATGGACTTATTTATGGTATTGATATTTTTTATTATCATTCTTATTACGCTTCTCCCCAAATTTAAATGCCATTTTGTAAACAATAGCGATGTGGTTCCAATCTAACATTCTACAGAATGTCATATCATAGTACATCAAATATCTATCTATTCTATATAATATCAAATATCTATAATCTATATATATATATTATATATATATATTATCTATATATCTATATTATCTGTATATATATATATATATATGGATATATATATATATATATAGTTATTTATTATAATTACAATTACGCTGATTACATTACATTACAGATTACCATTACAGGATAAACGATAAATAAAACAGAAACACAGATAGATTATTAAACATTAAATTGAAAAATTGTTTGTTTAGGAAAGGTACTAACTATGAAGTATAAACTATAAACTATAAAATAAATTAAAAATATTATTAAACTATGGCATAAAAAAAAAAAAATCAAACGATGAAATGAAAACCAGGCATACTTTTATAATTTTGAGCGTCTTCATATTATTTTGTAGCATATTATCTGTTGTTTCAAGCTTGGATCCATCATATCGAATGTGGATTATAAAGCTAGCCCTGTTTTTTATTGGCCAAACGTTATTCATACTCTCTGTCTATTACACTTGGCTGATAACGAAAAGACTAGTTGACACAAGACCTACAAAAACCAGTTTTTGTTCGTCTTGTTGTGTCAATCTTTTTTGGTTAACGCTTATTTTTATCTTCATATTTTCAAATGTGAGTTTTCTGTATTTTAATCTATTTTTTGTTGTTAATGCACCTGTGTTGGCTCTTGTTTCATTCACTTGTTTGGGTTTCTTTTTTCAATTCATTTTCTATCACCTTGTTGCCAATACATTCTGTCAGGCAGTTTTGTATCTCATTTATTTAGCAAAAAAAACCGAACATGCTAAACAGATTTCTCTATATATAAGTAATATCACATATATTGTTTCATTTGCTCTGGCATTAGCATTGAGCATATATGGTCTCATTGCCGCAAATAGGCCACCGGTTTTAGAAACTGTCAGATTAGAATTGAAAAACTTTCCAAGAGCAATGAATGGATTCAAAATTTTACTTATTTCTGATATCCACATTGGAATAGTTGTCACAAAAAATCATGTTGAAAAAGTTGTGGAATCAACTAAGCATATTGATTATGGTATTGAATTTTTTTAATTTATTTTTATTAACTGATGAATGTTAACGAAAAAAATTTCTCTAGATTTGTTAGCAGTGGTTGGTGATTTGACTGACCTTCCAATTTCTCACTCTAAAGAAGTGGTTGAACCGCTAAAATTCATGAAACCGAAGTATGGGAAATTTTTTGTCACTGGTAGGTTGGTTTACATGCAAGTATTTAACTGATATTGTTAAATATTTGAAAATATAAAGTAATTTTAAGAATTCTACAAAAAAAGCAAATATGAGACTAAGCATTATTTATTTATTTCATTTTTTGTATTTTCTGGAAAATTACTTTTAATTTAAAAGGAAACCATGACTACTATACTGGGGATGTTCTTAATTGGATGAGTTACTTGGAACACCAACTGAACTTCACAGTGCTTAATAATATGAATGTAAAGATTACCAAGAATGGTGCAGAAGAATTTTTTTATTTGGCTGGAATTGATGATGTAGAAGCTTCCAGATTCAAGTCTGCTCAATTAAAAATTTGTTCTTTTGTTTCTTAATCAATGAAATTTTTGAAGCTTTGTTTTTGGCCACAAATTTGGTTTTATATTATTTGCCTCATGGATATATTTATGCATCATTATATTTTCTGTGACACTATTGTCATAGTTGAATAGTTATTAAAAAATTTACAAGTCAAAATTTAAAAAAAATAAAACTTAACTTGCCTACCTTTCTAGTGTGGAGGGACATGGAATGGATGTGAGAAGGGCACTTGATGGGTGTCTCAAAAATCATTCCATCATTATGTTGGCCCATCAGCCGAAAGCTGCTAAGTGGGCACTAGATGACTTTGATGAAATAGATCTTGTTTTATCAGGTTATATGTTAAATATTACATAACAGACACTAGCGCTTGCATGTTTTTAATGTTCATTTCAAAACATGTTTTGATTACGTTAACATACTAAACAATCTCATAATCTAAAATCTTGCAAAAACGCTGCCAACATTATAATCTCATTCATGTTAGCAATCGGCTTCTGTGATGTTACTTCATGTCGATGGTCTAATGATTTATATAGTCGTATGCCAATCTTTTATTTTATTCCATGATATTTTGCATCCTTGTTAATCAATCCAATGATTTTATATTGCATATGTACAACTTTTATGGCCTATTGTTGTATAATGGAATGGTTGGAAAAAATATGCCAGAGTTTCATTTTTTTCTCAATGGCTGCAAATCAGAAGCTGAAATGTTTTTGCTTTTCAACAGTTTGCAATAACATTGATAACAGTTGGCATATTGACATGTGGTCTTTCTTGTAATAACATTCAACATAATTTTGAGTAGGAACTCAATGCTGAGACCTGAATGCATTTGTGTTAATATATTTATAGGTCTATGTGTACTGTTTGCAAGTTCAATGCTGCTATCTGAACTTTACTAAATATTCAAGAAATATCTCTTTTTCCTTTTATATAAGTAAGATAATAATCTAGATGACGCGCCTTTTTTAACAAATAATCCTAAAATTCTTAATATTGTTGTTTGTTGTCTGCAGCTGAGTAGCATTTTAGGAAACTATATTTATTCTAAATTATTAATAATCGCTGATTTGTGAGTCTAATTAGGCATCTGTAGTCTATGCGATCAGTAATTAGTAGCAACTTGCCTGTTAATTTAATCGCCCCACAGCCCATTCTAGTTAATTTTTGTTGAGGGCATTACAGCCGTAACTTATTATTAACACAGCTTATTTGTTAATGACATCATAATGTAAAATATTTAAAAATTTATTTGCTGATGACACGACAGGTCACACGCACGGAGGTCAGTTGTTTCCAATGTCCATCATGATATACCTCGGAAATCCTTTCTTCTCGGGTTTGTACAGGTACAAAGGGGCACAGGTCTACGTAACACAAGGTGCAGTTTATTGGGGCGTTCCTATGAGAATGTTCAGTCAATCAGAAATCAATTTAGTGAATTTGTACCGTGCTGAGTGAAGACTGAATCTCACGTCGTATAACGCGATGAAGCCATCTGTGTTGCTATTGTTTATTTATATCGTTGGGCTTGCTTGTTACTCTGCATAGTTATTTAACCAAAAGTGCGGTAATTTTTATATTTTTCGATAAGTTATAATAACTCTGGTTTATACCTGCATTTCACTCATTTCATCAATAAGCTTCTGTATCATTCATCAAATACATTCTAGGGTACGTAATTTTTGTTTAAATGTGATTGCACTCGTTTTTTAAATGTTCTTAATAAAACGTCTTAAAGTTTTTCACTTGACAATCTTTTTTATTTATTTATTATTTATTTTTCACAGTTTTGTCAATAATTTCTGCGGTTGTACATATAAGCAATATCGCAACTATGCTGCTGTCTGGCCTTATTTATATTTTTAGTTATTCTTCTCCACCTCCTTATCATTTATATATTTTTTTGTTAGTTTTGTAAATTTATACTTGTAATTTTGTTAACAAAACAAATTATTACGAAAATGTCGCATAAATAATGTTTACGTGTATGTACGCACGCACATCACACACATTTAATTATGCATATAATTATAATTATTATATAATGTTTGAACGGGTCTAGTCCAGCGTGACATACAAAAAGTAACGTTTAATATATAATTAAATTGTAATTATGTAAATATTTCATAGATCGTTCCACTCCATCTAATGAAACACACACCGGTAACGATATTTTAATTATCAACTGAAAATTTCATAGTTAACTTTTTTGTTAACCAATTACATCTAACTTTTTAATTGATTTACAGTCACTATAAATTATCTTTCTGAAATTTGTTGAAGTGGATTTGTCTTCATTCGTCCCATTGGTAACTGGAACTGTCCCATCCGTAAATATATTGTTCTGTATGGTCCTGCCAAAATTATTAACGTATAATTACAAATAAATGTAGAATTCGATAAACCGAGATTCGATATACAGTTATCACACAGCAGACACATGATTAGTTAATTTTTATTCTAAGTAGGGATACAAAAGGAAGAATTAATTGTTTCTAACAAGAATTGCCATGTCTTCTTCTATTGTGAAATCGAATACTTCTGAGTTTTCAATAATTCTCTCTTCATTGACCGACTTAGGAATTGTTATGTAACCTTTTTGCAAGCTCCATCTAATCATTATCTGAGCAGATGTTTTTTGTATCTGTCGACCAATTAGTTGAATGCATATATGGTTGAATGATACCCATTTATTAATGTGTTAGAGTTTCTAATGATCTGACAATGATAATTTACAAGTTTTCTAAGCAACAATTAAATCTGAATTACTTTTGTGCCTTTTCAACGACAACTGGATTATCGAGTAGAAAGCCCCGTGCTAATGGCGAATATCCCATGACGGCAATCTTGTTATTTCTACAATAATCCACCAAATATTCCCTTCTTTGAAAAATATGCAATTCGATTTGATTGACAGATGGGACTGGCAGACCTGACCTCTTCAATCCTTTCAGGTGCTGAACTTCAAAGTTGGAAACACCAACCGATCTTTAAATGACATTTTGAATTTAAAAAAATATAAAATTAATTTCGAATAACTAATAATAATTTTGAATAGCGGTTCAGTACATTATTGTAAGGCCATTTACTAAAATTCTATTTTTGACTTTAAATAACGGAAATACGTAGTACCTTATTAGTCCTTCTTTCTTTAAGTCTAACAAAGCTTAGTAGGTTTCGACATTTTTGCCCCCAAATGGTGAATGGATCAAAAATAAATCCACGTATTCCATCTGCAATCTGTTTTTAATAGAGAGATTCAGAATTATTTCAATTTTTTAGTTAATACAAGTTAATACAAATTTTTGATTTTAAAATTTAAAACAATTGTCAATTTTTTTTAGAAAAATAATGGCATTCAGGTCAGTTATCACCTTTGCAGACTATCGCGGACAGAAGCAATGGTGGCATCATAGCCGTGTGCATCTGTGAATACTTAACTGACAACAAAAACTTGCTCACGTGGAACTCCCGATCTTCTAAATCCCCGTCCAACATCTTCCTCATTCCTTTTTCATTCATGTGATATTTATTCAAACACAAATCATCAATATAAAATTATACCCGTAAATTTGAGCCGTATCAAGTAATCTGTATCCGGATTTGAGTGCTATGTATGTGGCTTCCTCCGCTTCCCCTCCAGGCCTCGACAAATATAATCCTAATCCAAATAAGGGCATGTCGACTCCGTCATTGAGTTTTATTGTGCTAACGACGCTCAAACCATCAGGATAATCAGAACATTTTTCTTTACTGAGATGTGACATTGAATAGTTTATGTCAACAGTAGACAATTTTAGCTAATAATTTTTAAGTTATTTTAAAATTCCATTTGTTAATAGAGCTGGTCAAAATTTTACTAACAAGATTTGTGCTTATTGCCCGATAAAATTGATAAAAGTATTCATGCCAGCTCCACAAAATTCACATATTCTAACATTAAAAAAATTGCAATTTTGTTTTGCGGGAACAACGTGGCTTGGCAGTTAGCTACTAACTTTTCCTTTTCATTGAACCTGATCAAGCTAAATCTGAAATCCTACAATGCGTTGCAAAAAATACTCGAACCGACACGCTATCTCATTTAAAAATTAAACCGTTATGTTTAAAAAACAAAATTCACCCGAATACATTTGAAACGAAATAAAATAATAATGATATGGCTCAGGAGGCCAAAATGTCACCAGTCACACATCACCTCGAGCGGAAAATATTATTTATAACAATTTATGCACGACACATATTTCAACAATACAGTTCAGTTCCATGCACGCGTTGTGTGTTTTATTATTGGATGTTGAAAAGGGCCGTTAAATTTTTGTATTTAATTTGGAACGATAATCAAAATCAATGCAAACTAGAAAAATATAAAACTATACGTTTTTGAACGTAATAAATGTGGTTAGGTCATTGTAACAACATGACATTGAAATAAGCTTAAAAGCCTGAAATTTGCATTGTCATCATCATTATGAACATAATCATGATCACCATCAACACAATCTTCATTAACAGCATGCCACAGCATACCTAAGAAACTAACGTGCAATATTGACAATGTCCACAAGCGATGAAACCCAGAATGTTGATTACTAAAGCAAATTTAGCAAATATGTTTGGAATATCAATACGTTGTGAATATATTTGTTCAAACAATATTTGTTTAATATATTTGTTCAAGGTATAATAATTTGAAATAAATATGAAAACCTAACATTTAACAAACTAAAACTTTTACTGTTGTACGTGCTACGCTACACCAAGCCATACATATACTCAATATATTCTATAATATATCCATATAGATATACTTAATAAAGATATGGCTAAACAAGACTTTTTTTATATGAACAGTTCGCTGGCGTATGAATTGTATAACATGCAAACTTGTGTTGTATTGTTTGTGAAGTTTAAAAGTTCTTACGAAGCAAAACAATGAGCGTACAGGAAGACGCGTTTGGATGGATGAGGATTACTTGGCTGGGTGCATGCATGGCGCAGTTATTTACCAACCAACCAACCGACCGACCGACAGACCGACCGACCAACCAACCAACCAATGCAGAATATATTTATTGTATTGTGGCCTCTCGTTAACATCTTTTTAGCATGGATCAACAATTTTCTTCAAACTAACGACGACCTTTTATTTTGCTTATCACGCAATTTTTAACAAATTATGCCAAAAAAATATATGGATTTTTTCAAAATTTAACTTGGTTTTATTAGTGTGAGTGTACTGAAATGGTTTTTTTCAGTACAAATTTTCATAAATTTATATACATATTTCGTTAAATTTAACCTTAACTCTCCCAGCCAGCCCTTGAAAATTTTTTCGATATGCGTAAGGCCCCTATGCCTACGCTTCTATGTTTGGACCAATCAAGTTTCAAATAATTTAAAATTTACCTGCTTCCCCGTTTGCTACTCTCCTGATGTTAAATTGAACACGTTTAAATTAAACACTTATAAACTTTCAACTATTCTGACGTTATTTGTTTTTTCTACAAGCTCCATCTTATCATTTTTCATTAACTTCTCGCTTGTTTTTTGTACTCATTGTTTTTTAGCTTAAGCTTTTTTACTTGTTAGTTGCTCCTGTCCTTGACTTGATCTTTTCTAATTAAAAAATGATCATACGTATTAAGTTTTAATAAATTGAAATAATATATAATTAGGCCTGTGTGTGAAAAATAAACAATAAAATAAATTCTCTTCCTGAACAACCATCAATCACTCGCACAAATCAGCTAAAAATATTAGCCATCACATTCACCTCCACACTCAATATAGCACCTCATATCAATTACATCATCACAAAAGGCTTTCAAACATTTCACGCTCTCAAAACACTCCGTTCACATGGTCTCAGAGGCATCAAATTATTCGAAAACACCGAATCACTCATCTCACGCATCAAATATGCAGGTCCCTCCTGATCTGGTTTTGCCACGCAACAACAACTTCAGCAGCTACAATCTCTCATCAAAAAACTAATTCGCTTCAACTACCTACCTGCTTCATATCCTACCGTCACCCAGATATTCAACACACTCGATTCAAGGCTGTTCAAGAGAATAGAAAATAACAACAACCACGTCATCCATCCTCTACTACCACCAATTAAAACTACAACACACAACCTTCGTCAGCGCAAACATAACTATCAAGTCGTCGCCCAATCTACATACCAGGAAAAGACCTTCATCACAAGACACCTCAAACATATTAGCACTTAAGAAAACTTTATCATTACTGAACTAGTTTTTATTTATTGATCACCTCACTTTTATCGATCACCTCACTAACTCACTAAGTCATCATTTAGTCTATTAATCAAACATATTAATCAAACATATTAATACTCATTAAAACTTTTTCACACACAGGCCTAGCCTTTATCTATCGATCACCTCACTAACCCACTAAGTCATCATCTAGTCTATCAATTTGCCGTTACTTCATTTTATATTCCATCGTCAATTACTTTTCTTTTATTTTTCTTTTTATTATTATTTATTTTATTCTAACATATTTTATTTTTCATTTCTCTTCCTCACTTTTTGTATTTATTTTGTCACTTATTTGTTTAATTTTGTTTTACTACTTTGCATGTTGTTACAGTTTCTGCGTCTGTCAGTTCCTGACATTGAATTATATGTAAGAATGGCTTTATAGTGTTGACCTTCATCTCAAGGTCAGGAAACTTGGAAGCAAACTTTTTTAGCACCAAATTGTCAATGGGTTTTTCCGTTTTCCAATCTATATTTAGCTTCTTCCCTGTTAATGTGCCACCGGCGGCATTCTTGTAAACGTTTTTTGCTGCTAAAATCATTCTACGGCAGTTTTAATCGATTTTTAACTTAATAATTTAACTGAATTATGTAAAATTTTTGGAATCATTTATTATTTGATCAATTTTGATTTTATAAAGTTTATTTGTTTAAAAGTTTTAAAAATGTTACATTGTGCCAGGAGACACTAGGCCCAGACTAGTAGAAGAAAAAAGGCTTTGCTTTTTTGTATTTTTATTTAAAATTTTTGACTTTTTATTTTTTTAACTATCGTTAATTAATGTTCAAATATTTTTTAGATTGTTATAATATTATGGGTTTATTATTATTATTAGGATGCCCTTGTAAAATGGCTTTTTGTCATAAGAAATACAGAATACAAAGAGTTTCTTTATTTTAATTTATTGTGTATATAATATATACACAATAAATTAAAATAAAGAAACTCTTATATACTATATATATATATATTATATATATATATATATACTATATATATATATATGTATGATGAAAAATTTTAAATGCAGCTATTTACTTTCAAACTTAAATCATATTTAGACGTTTTGCTTAATGGATGCACATCTCATCAAGCAACAGCAAAGGCAATCAAAGTATTACAAGTCCAGAATCACAATGCTGCAGGCACAAATAAGAAAACTTATGAATGAATGTAATAAATTAAAAAATGAATTAGCTACATACAAAGGTTTTATGTTATGTAACCATAGCAAAATGAATTGAAATTTTGATTAATTTTTTGTTTTTTTTTGCTTCTAGATAAAAAACTCATACCATTTAAAAAGAGTTAACAAAGTATATATAATGATAGTTACAAGACCTTTTATATGCAGCTGCATTTTCATGGTCCTCATGCATACCAATTTTTAAGAAAAAGTGGACTAACACTGCCACACTCGAGAACATTGAACAAGTAAAATTTTGTTAATAATGATATTCTGTAAACTAATATTGCTATATAAAGAAATATGTACAGCAAATAAAATATTGCAAATGCTCTTTAATCCTTGATTCGATATCAATAAAGCCTCAAATAACGTATAATAAGAAAATTGGTAGGTTTTTTAAAATATATTTTGTTTGTAAAATTGTGAGTTTAAAATATAGCATATTTTGGTAGCATATGCTAGTTTATTCCTTGTGTATTTTATTTATTTCTTGATTTTTTTTTGTTTCCCATTTCATCATAAACATTTGTTTTCAATTTATTTAATTTTATTGATGCTAAATGTTAAGCATAAATTATCAAACGCATTGTTTATTTGTGAAGATGACTTTATTGGATATGTTAACTATGGAGATGGGAATGAAGACATAGTTGCTTCAGAGATGTTGATTTTTTATGTTGTTAGTTTGAGAGAAGCTTGGAGGCATTCAATAGCTTATTTTTATACAAATAAGTTATTATCTCACAAGTTGAAAGATTTTATAGAGAAAGCCATTGATAAGTTACATAATGCTGGAGTTAGGGTAAACAACATTTGTTTTTCTTAAAGATATGTTAAAATTTTTATACATTATATTTATTTTTTAGGGTTGTTTCACTGGTAATGGATGGGTTGGCCACTAATGTTTCGGCATGTGGATTGCTTGGATGCTCTTTCACATTTCCAAACATGCAAACAAGTTTCTTGTCCCCAACAACCGGCCAGAAAATATATATCATATTTGATGCATGCCACATGCTGAAATTAATGAGGAATATGTTTCATTCTTATATGATATTTTATAATAATAATCCAATCAAATGGAATCATATCGTAAACTTAGTTAATTATCAGCAAAAAATCAAAATGAAACTAAAAAATAAATTAACCAAAAATCGTGTAAATTTGAAAAGCATAAGATGAAAGTTAAATATGCATCTTGAGTCTTTAGTTGCTCTGCGGCTAAATCATTGGAACTCTTAAACGGATTTTATGTTTTTTTCTGACGTTTCTGAAACAATAGCTTTTGTGAAAAACATCAATGATCTTTTCCATATATTGAACAGCAAACTGATACTGGATAGAGAATGGAAGCAATACATTACAAAGAGCAACCTGACAGCCACTATAGATAAGCTTTATGAAATGAAAGCCTACTTACTAAGTTTGAAAAATTTAGATGGTGTTACATTTACAAAACTCAAGGTTTTTTTTTTATATATCTCAATATCTAAACTAAAACTTAATTACAAATAATTTCAGAAAAATGGCTTGGACAATTGACATATCCCTCAAAAGGAGTATTAAAAGTAAAATGATACATTTATTTATTTTCTGGAAAAACAATAAATATTAATGATTTTCAGATCTGCCAAGAATCAGAAAGATTATTAAAAATAAATAATTATTGTTTTAAGAAAAAACTTGTAATTGAAAGCAACATACTCCCACAATGTGTCAACGAAGATTTATTTAACATGGAAAATCATTTCAATGATGTACAGAATGCAAACCACTATTATGAATAAATAAAAAAAATCATCATATACAACATTAAGACGTTTTAACTTAACTAAAGGGTTTTCTATCAACATGCAGTTTTAATAAAAGTAAATTAAATAAAAAAATGCAACGAAAATTATACTATTTAAATTTATTAAATCAATTGTTTTATTGAATTTGTACAGTGCTTCTAATAGATTACATCAGAAGCAAATTCTACAACCTTAGTTTTATCTTTATATATATATATATATATATATATATATATTTGCCAAATAAAATTCAATTCAATATATATATTTCACTTTTCAAGATAGTTGAAAGATAAATTTATAATTATGTAAATCAAACATTTTGCAGTTATACAACAAATAAACAAAACCGAAATCCAGAAATAAAAAAAGTAAGACTGATCTAACTACGAGTTAAGTTAATTACTAATTATAGCAAGATAGATGTTTTATAATCAACAAGCAAGAAATATAACAATTTACACATAAATATAAAAGTATACATGTTCATGACCTAGCACCTTCAGGGTTATTTTATAAATAGTAATGTTAAACTAAAAATTATTAAACATTCCATACCTATTCTATTAAAAATCAACAGTTTTATAAAATTTAATTAAATCAATAGCATAATGAGTTTCATGTTAGCTTAATATTAATTAAACTATTATTTTTTTAATATATTAATGTCAATTACAGTTGAAATAGTTAAGTTAAAGAATTTGATTTTAACAAATTATTATATAATTAATTTAATATATTAATAAATTATATATAAATCATAGCATTTAAAGTTAAAACAGAAAAAAAAGATTGTTTGCTTTTACTACCAAAAGAAATTTTAAAAACCTCTTCTGTGATTAAATTTGGTTTGGGTATGTTATGTTGAAAGCAAATATTCCTTTGTATTGTAAGCTTTGGGGTGTTGAAAGATTCTAGTTTAGGACATATGCACAGGAATTACACCTTAATTTAAAAATTATTAGTTGATTAAATCTTTATTTCAGAAAAATGAGGATCGCTAACGAACTTATTACAAATCTTCGATTTTTCCGATGCATCAATAAAATGGCAATATCTATTTAATTTAACGATTAAATACGGCACATTATAAAACCTAAAACTTCACGGAATGTTGAAAACGAAATAAATTTTAACAAACGAGCTGAATGTAGATCGGCAAAGAATCATTAACATAACTTCGGGAAGGCCAAGATTTTTTCTAATTATATCTCAGATTTTTCTAAAAATAAATCAAAATGCTCATGAATAATTAATTTTTAGGAACTTGCTTCCAGAGGTAACTTGCCCGTTGAAAAAAATTTTCAATGTTAAAACGCTGGTAGGGCGCTTCCAGTTATATAATTCCATGGTTCCTGATTTTTAAAGAATAATAATAAAAAAATATATATATATATGTGTATACCCTATATTCTAGTTATGTGTGTATACCCATACATATAGAATATAACTTATTCTATATACAGTGTATACCAAATCTATACAAAAATTTGCGCTTAAGCATTTTCTACTTTGATGTCTTTGGACTGTTTTTAACTAAAAAATTATAAATGTTCCATTTATCGTTTAAAAAATTTGAATTGCAGGCGATTAATGAACGATGTTTTGCATGATTCGAACTGACATTTGATGAAAATGAAGGAAATGATCGGAGGCTGCTGCGTGTGCTCCGACGATCGAGGTTACGATGAGAATCCCATCGTTTACTGTGATGGACATGGATGCAATGTTGCAGTTCACCAAGGTTCCAAATTTGGATTTGTTTGCTGTTGGGTTGTGTTTGTATTGTAATGTGTATGATGTATGTGTAATGAACCAAACTTTGAAATTCAATATTTCCACACTACATTTGTCAATGAAGTTTTCTTGGTTTGCGTTGTTGTCAATCTATGTATTTATTTTGTATGTGTTTGTATTGTAATGTGTACTAGTGTACTACAACGTACTGCACAACAACAGTTCACTCCCTATAACAAAAATTTTAAAAATCACTTAAAATGTATATTATTATTATGTTTTATTATATATATATAATAATAATTGTTATTGAATGAATTGAATTAAAATTAATATAAAAGTTTCATGTATTATTGTATTGTATTCTTATTTTGTTTTTATAATTTTCATCATAAGATTTGTCAATAGTCATGTTTTATATTGTGTTGTGTACTGAGATTTGTGGTTCATTTGCCAGTTCATTGATTAAAAAGTGCTTTATTTTATTACCTATTTTTGAATGTTGTAAGCAATTACAACTTATTTTTGTTGAAGCTTGTTATGGAATCATCACAGTGCCCAGCGGACCATGGTTCTGCAGGAAATGTGAATCTCAGGAAAGAGCTGCAAGAGTGGTTAGTTAGATTTACAACACTGGTTATATATATATATATATATATATATATATATATATATATATATATATATATATATATATATACACACATTATAAATGCTGATCTGAAATTTTTAAATGTTTTAATTTTCAAATGATTTGATTTTTAAATGGCTTGAAAAACTACATTATGTTTGCTTTATTTATTCATTGAAATACATGATGATTTTCAGAGATGTGAGTTGTGCCCACACAAGGAAGGAGCATTGAAAAGAACTGATGCTGGAGGTTATTTCCATAAACAGAAATTATTTATGGTTTCTAATTCTAATTTGATTTTTCTTTTTTTTTACATCAGTTTGGGTTTGATTTTATTTATAGGACACGTTTATTAATGTTACTACAATTCTAAATTGCCTTAAGGCTGGTGTCATGTTGTATGTGCTTTGTACATTCCCGAGGTTTCATTTGGCTCCATTAACTCTATGGAACCAATCATCTTGAAAAAAGTCCCCCAAGACAGATACAACAAGGTTTTCGTATTCATCATTTCAAATTAACATTTTATTCATTTCACATTTATGTTAGTTTGACAAAGTGTAAAATAAACAATGTCAACTAGTAAATATATAAACTTATTGATTGATATGTACATTTTATGTCAAAAGGCAGGCCTAAATTGGGTTACCTAGGAATGAGATTTAACATTTCGGTTTTTCAAATTAGTGTAAATGCTGATGATGTCCATTCATTTATTTCTTTTTATTTATTCATTTATATGGTGTAAGTTAACATGCACTTCAGACAAAATTTTGGCATGTTGAAATATATTCAAATAGCTAATAAAATGAATTTAGCTTTCATTAATTGCATTACCAATTACACTGGCATTACAGAAAAAATTTTTTTTAATTTCTCTAGTAAGTTGATGTATTTCTGGTTGATTTTAGCACACTGATTTCAAATCTGTAAGGTATTTTTTGTATCACATTAAATTTTTGAGAAAACTTCTATTGAAGTTTTCATCAATTATCATTACAGTTATTTCATTATCTGGTCATTAAACTTTGAAAAAAATTCTATCAAGATTTTTGTTATTCAAGAAATGTCATTTCATTGAAAATGAATAGCAAGTTATATTTAAAAAAGTTGTTATTGCTCATTGAAGAAAACATGTTAATTGAAATTGCACATAAAGCTGATGGAAGAGGCTCAAGTGTTTTGCAAACAGACTTTCGACAGTTTAACTTTTGTGACATCAGTCATGCTTCAGCAATCAGCAGTAATCTGCAAGCATATCCCTACTCCCTTGTTCCTCTTGGCGTGATTCCATTATAGCAATTTCCTGTTTAAATGTTTTTCATATTCATCACTGAACTTGACAAGACTTTCAAGGAAAAGTCAAAAAGTGAATCAAGAGGATGAATTTAAAGAAAAATGTTACATCCGTATTCTGAAATGTATAGGAAGGCAAGTTCAACAACTTTTGTAGTTACTATACTTATTATTTCACGAGAAATTGGCAACAAAAGACTTGAACACTACCAATGATTTAAAATCTTTTTCATTTTAGTAGGTCTTGACAACTTTTATCACTTATTAGTTTTTGGATGAGAGGGCCTACCAACATATCTTCTTTTACTTTAGCATCACTGGTTTGCAGGAACAAGGTACAGAACATTCATCTCATTCAACGTTTTAGAAAATTTTTTATTAGACTCAACTTGATTTGTAACAAATTCTTACTAGTATATGATGTCTTCGTGAAAACCAGTGACTCATGCAAAATATGCGGAACTTTGTGCTACCGACTTGTAGACCCTGGAGGGTTGCAGCGACTTTTACGTCTACAAAAATTTTCTTATTTTAATCATTATATCTAATTTTTAGTAAAACATTACTGATTTTGTCATAAGTTTATTTCAACTGTGTGTAATAGCCAACTGGATGGCAATAAATTTTTATATCCTAAACTCGTTTTTTACGCATTGAGGAAGAGGCACCAGTTCTTGACTTCATGCTAAGGACTGAGATGGGCCATGATATTGTTGATATCATTTTAGTAACACATATTATTTATCATCTGATGTAAAGTATTGCATAAGTTTACAGTATCTGTACCGAAAGTTTCATATTTTTGCACCAGGAGTTAATAAATTTCATTGTTTTATTTGTGACCTAAGACTCTGCTACTGCGTATTTTTCAAAAACGGTTATGAACGTTTTTCTTTGGAATGCAATGTAATAGAGCAAAAAGGTTTTTAGACTTGAAATCAGTGTGAAAAAATTATATAGAAATATTTAATGTTTTATGGGAAAGAAAAATTATGTATGTCAGTGTTATTATTTATAACTATAACTAATTCATTGATAACCGTTTGAATAATGATAATAATATGTATGGTGGTACTCCGCTCAGTTGTGTTACATATGCGAGGAGCAAGGAAGAGCCAACAAAGCAACATCAGGTGCCTGCATGCAGTGCAACTACAAATCTGGATGCAAGCAACACTTCCATGTCACCTGGTCTGTCTGTTTTGCGTGTTCATCCAATCATTATAAACTAAACTGAAGTTTAATATTTAATAACTTCATATGATTGTGATCATCATGTTGGTCTAATCATTGTGTTCATTAAGTTTGCCTAATTATTTTGTCCAATATGTGTGTCTCTGTTTTTCTTTTCTTCTATACTTCTATGTTTTTTTTCTTCCTGATGTTCGGTAATAATGACTGAGAGAGGAATGAATGTTTAGTGATGATGAATGTGGTGAAATGTTCATATGGTTTATTAAAAAAAATTTATGAAATAGCTCCAATACAAAAAACATGACATGTCCAGATGCACATGAACACTTCATCTTTCTACACTATTTGATAATGCTGGGTTCTGTTATGATCATTGAGTTGTGTGTTACTTTCTTGTTTGATGCGTTGTTATTTGTTGTTGATTATATGTATTAGTGGCTGGATTTTGTGTCTGAGTGACATACTTTTAATGTTGTCAATGACATTATTTAGATGTTATTGTTATCTAATTGTTCAGTGCTCAGTCAGTTGGACAGCTGAGAGAAGAGTCAGGAACAAAGAAGAAGGTATCCTACTGTGGATACTGTGCATACCACTTCAAAAAAATTGTTAGCTCATTTTTTAATGTTCACTGCTGATTTCATTAAATTTTTATTACAATATTCGTTTTGAGCCAGAATTTAATAGCGCCATTCAATAATTTAATAATGTTGCACTATCATTTATTATATGTAAATATGTTCATGTGTATATGCTGTTTGCCATATAAATTAACGATGAGGATCTCTTCAAATTAAAACCCATTCTCGATTCCAGGTGAGCATGCAGCAAAAGAAGGAACAAACCCTCCTAAAGCAGAACAGAAATGTTGAACATGAACTGACAATGGAGAAAAAATTAGAAAAATCTAAGGTATCCATGATTAAAATTGACTGGTGGCTCTTTAAACTGCTTGTCCTATTCTGTAGAAACTAACAGAATAGTTGTAGCTTAGTTAGCTGATTGGTTAGTCAGTTGTAAGTCAGTTATGATGAAATTCAATCTGCTCTGTTTCTCCGTTTTAGATCTTACAAGTGAGTTAGAGGCTTAAATGAGAGCTGTGGAATATGATCACCAGTGCCAAAACTTAATTAACGCTAATGAAAAACCAAGATTTTATTTTACACCCAAATGATTCTATGTGCACATTTCTAATTTCTACATTATGCTTTATAGTTAGCCTCTACACATACACATTTAGCAGGCTACATAGATGGTAAGTCGGACAGTTTATAGTTGAAATTGGTTTGATGGTTTGTGGATTGATGGCTGGTTTGTGATTTTATTAGTAGTTGATAACTAACTGACTGTTAGTCATTCAAAAGTTTGAAAGTTGTTGTTGCCGGAATCATGGCAAAAACCGATACAAAATATTTTATGTTCTGGTTGAAGAATAATAAATTGACAAAAAAGAATTTTCACCAGATCTATTCTCTCTCTGTGTGTGTGTGTGTGTGTGTGTGTGTGTGTGTGTGTGTGTGTGTGTGTGTGTGTGTGGTGTGTGATGTGTGCCAATCTATCACGTTTGTGCGTTTGTGAACGTTTAGCATTGTATTTCTGCAGAATGATGCATAACATTAATATCAAGTAGCCACTTCTTATTCAATATTGATAAGCATGTGAGTTCGATATTGAGAAGAATAGATGAAACGATAAGCAGAATGTCATTAGTGTAATGGTGTAGAATGATGATTAGGATGATGATGATGATATGATTGGAATGACATGTGTTAATTTGGTATCCACAGTTATCTGACCAGGCATCTGATGATGGCCACCACTCAATTAAATCTGAGGTTTGAACTGCTGCTACTCAATTGTCATTGATACATATTTATATCTTGTTACATTACTTGCAATTAACAACTTGACTGATGAATCAAATAATCAAAATTTGTATGACTGCATAATTGCAGACATCACAGGAGCCAACGCATGTTACAAATGGGAACTCTGAAAACATTGATTCTGAAACATTACCCGCCATCAAGCCAATTATAAATGCAGCTGACAACAATAACAACAACATAGAAAACAACAACAAAGAAAAGTCACATGACCATCTCCGCCCAAATGTTGACCCGCCAAAGTCGTTGGGGAAATTCACAACGGCAAATTTCATTGAGACAACGATTGAGGAGAGTCCTGCAAGTTTTGTTGAGATTCCCGCCTCTTGTGTTCTCCTCAACGACATCGACGTAAAAAGTGAATTTCAACGTCCCAGTTACTCTGCTGTCGACAGCTGCAGCAGCAGCATTTCTGGTAACTGTAACGATGAGGTGGCCTGTGCTAAGGAAAAAAAGTGCAATATTTCAAGCAGAAAGTCACATACGGTGTCATGGAATAATTTGAGTAGACACAACTACGAAGATTCATTCCCCAACAAGTCGACTAAATCTTCTATGAACATGGATGTTGATAATGAGGAAGACGATGAAACTCAACATGATGTCGACGATAAGAGTTCAATTTTTAAAATTAAACAATGCAACAAGCCATTGGGCATGTCACCGTCTTCTTCATCATCGATGATGTCGACTGACAACCACTGCTACAAATCTCTCGTCAACCAACCAGTCTCCGATTTCTCGTCGTCATCATCCTCCTTATTGTCTCATCCATCATTTGGCCAGATGGCATTTCCGCAAATCCTTACTGATGTATGGGATCCTAGATACAACAAAAACAACAACAACAAAAACAACATCATTATCAACAGCTTTAATAATCTGAATGATGGCTGCAAAAAGTTGGATCATATTGTTCTTTCATTGATGTGACATTTTATTTTATGTTCTCACTTTCACAAATTGTTACTAGTATCTCTAAACGTTTGACAGTGTTGTGTGCCACTTTTGTAACTTTAAAATGTGACATCTGGGCGCACCTAGTTATGGTTACTGTAATAATTTCATCGTATACAACCATTTTTTAGTTCTTGTGGCGTATATTTAACAAGGTGATGTTTGATCAAATTTTATTTTAGGTGTTCAAGTGTGTCAATGAGATCAAATCAACAAATACTTTTTTTATAAATCTCTAAACAGTTCGACAGAGCTACCGTCAGCAATAGAAGCAGCTCCAACGTTCACAAGCAAGCAACAGAAAGCAGGCAAGCGAAAACAGCCAGCTGAGAAGAAAGCAGCGGGCAGAGGGCGCAAAGCCAAAGAGGTCCAGGATCTTTCGAAGGAAACTGTCTCTAACATCGGTGATTTTAGTGGTTAGTGAGTGTGGGATTGATTTTGAAATTATTCTCTGTTAATTATTAAATAAATTTTTCTCAATGAAGTTGAAAGTGAAGAGACTTGCATCACCACCACCACCACCAACAACAACAACAAATCTGCTAACAAACAACGCAAGCAACAACCGAAGCCTCAACACCAGGCATCCACCTACTTCCAACAACAACATCAACATTCATCTAATCTTCACAACAGCGTTAGGTCTCCACATCAGCAGCAACAACTGCCTTTCATACCTTTCCCATCAGCGACTTCATCAACCTCATCATCCAGTTACATACCCACATTCTCATTGGATAACTTGGATTCTCTTTCACTGTAAGCTTTTGTCTAGCTTTTGTAAGCTTTTGATTTTTATATTCTTTTTTATCAAAAATTTTGACTTCAAACTTTTTTCTTGTGTTTGTTCATTTGACATCTTCACCGCTATTGTGATAATTATTTTGATTTTTCTTATCGTAATTGTATGCTCAACTTTATTGCAAAATTTTGCACTGCTCAAACAAATGAATTTCATTCATTTGCATTCATAGTTGAGTTATTTTATTTTTTCCAAACTGTTGCATTAATTAAAATCAGGAATTCATCGGCAACAACGATGGAGCAGTTGCTGGAGTCCCAGTGGCACCTTGGATCTCAGTTCCTCATGCAACAAGCTCAAAATATGGACAGTCAGTTCATTCTTTGCACGTTCTTCTGCTATTTGTGCACACCTCTTTTTTAGACACACACACATACACACACACACACGCACGCACGCACACTTCTTACGCACTTGCAAACAACTCATAAGTCTATAATTCATGTAAATTATGTCTGCCTTCTGTGCATTCAAGATGAAGGTTAGTAAATGCTTCAATAAGATGAGGGTAAATAAAATCAAGGTGCACACCTTAATGCAAATGATGTCATTAGAAGTCAATTGAATTGATGCACAAAATTGCACAGTTGTATTGTTGAATGTAGTTGAAGTTGGATATAATCCACTGGTCACCAGTTTTCTTATCAAATGTTTTTTATTTATCAAAATAGAATAAATAAATATTATAAATCAAATAAATCTTATAAATTCAATGCCAAATTTGCTTTTTAATGTAAAGCTCATAGTTCAAATTCACATGACGACCACATTTTGGACACAACTTTCAATGTCAGTAATTATTATGTAAAAAAATAATTAGTTTATTAATGAAAGGACATAAATTAATTTGAATGTGCACCAAAGTTTCCTCTTTCCTGTCCCATCTGTACAAACTACGCGTGGAGAATCAGCAGATGGAAGCCAAGATCGACGAGCTGACAACGAGAAGGAACTATTTGCTACGAATCAACTCTCGAATAAATCCATCACTGGCCAATCATATGAAACATGAGTCGATCAACACTCAGCCAACTACCAATCACATGTCTCCAACCATCTTGACACCAAATGCTGACAAATCAGTTGCTAGGAATGCCACAAAGAATGTTTCTGCTGGCAAGAAGAGAAAAACATTTGATTGTGTCAGTTTCTATGATTATATAATGTGGATGAATACTTAAATGTGATTGGATGATCTTACAAATAATTAATGTGGGTTGAATGCTGAAATGTGATTGATCAGTGAGTCTCTATGAAAAATTAGTGTGGGATAAATGTTGGAATGTGATTGGATGGTTTTAGTTAACGTGGATATATTGGGCTTATATATTGAATATATATATATATTGCAGTTATTATATGTATTATATATATATTATATGTATTATATATATATATATATTATATATATACTGAAGTATATTGTTATATTATATTATATATTATAATATATTGAAGTATATTATATATATAAATATAAGTATATTGAACTTTTCATCATTGCAAAACTTCAGCAGGCCCAGGAAGTAGCACCCTGTTCTTCATCTCCAACCTTGGACCAACACCACCAACATGGTCTCATGGATTCTAAAGCACTACATTCATCAACGTCATCGTCATCATTAATGTTTCCATCGTCATCATCGTCAACAACTCTTTCTCACTCATCCACTCAGCATCATTCCAGCCCGTCTTCGAAACCTCTGCAACCAACCTACTCGTTCATCTCCAATGGATTGGTCAACGTGGCATCTCGTCAGTGCTTCTTCATTCCAATTAGTCACTTTAAATAATTTATTTTTTTCTGTCTACTTTTTAAAATTATTTTAAGCTCTTCTGTAAATATTCAAAGTAGAGATTTAAAGTATTAAAATTAAATTTAAAATTTTTATTATTGTGTTTAGTTGTTTCTAAAAAATACTGTTTAATATAATCTTACCTATTTGTTTTTGCAACATTATCAGCGCCTATGCCTCTAGGCTTGCCTCTCTTCCCGCAACAACCACTGCAACAAAACCAACCACAACTGCTACAAAACCAACCACAATCCCAACAACAAAAGCAGCAGAACAAAAAGTCATCCCTTTCTGCAGTCAAACAGTTGCAGTCGAGCCAACAACTTTATCCATCGTCAAAACTTAATGTAACAACTCACAACAACAACAACAACGTTATCGTCAACAACAACAACAACAGCAATATTAACATCAACGGCAGCAACTCAGCAATTGATCATGGGTCTCCTTCTCCAGTTGCAAGTCACCAGTCGACGCCATCTCCAATTCCCATGGCGGCCATGCTGGATAAATCCATGCTCATGACCAGGCATCCACTCTTTCCTATCCCGAGACACTTCACCGTCGTTAGTTATTGTTGTTGTGGTTGTTGTTGTTGCTGTTGTTTTTGTTGTTGTTGATGTGTTGCTAGTACCGATGATGTTGCTGTTGTTGTTGTGATTTATAGTAATGTCATCATAAGTATTGATGTTGGTGTTGTTGTTGTTGTTAAACTTCAGGAGTTTACAGTATGTTATGGCGTTGTTTTATACTGCAAATTTGTATTAAAATGTTCATAGTTTCATAAATTAATTAATCTCTATTTACCAAACCTTTTTGCATTTATAAAATGTCTTTGATGAGATGTAATTATTTAAACTAAGTTCTTACGTGGGAATCTGTTGAGCTGATAAATATGAACTCAATTCAGGAGCAACAAACTTACTTGTTGCAGATACAGCAACAACAGCAACAACTCGTTTTACAACAACAAAAACAACAATCGTTATCAAGAGGCAGGGATGTCCCTCCGGTGCCCCTTCCATTCATCCTCCCCACACTACCACCCCAACTATTTGGCCAACCAATCCACCTAACTGAGCACTCGTCGTCAGGTCAGTAGTCTTCACTCCTCGCTTCTGCTCTCTGTCTCATTGTTTTATTTCTGTCTTCGTGTTTTATCACTATTGTCCAGTTATTATTATTATTATTTATTATTATTATTATTTTTATTATTATTACCATTATTAGAGAATCATATAGCGCCCTTTAATAATAATAGTTGTGTTGTTGTGTTGATTTTGCTGTTGTATATCGACTTTGTGTCTTGTTGCTGGTTTGCCACTCTCGTGTCTACTATATGTTTTTTTCTCTCTCTCTCTCTCTTTTTCTCTCTCTCTTTAAAATCTGCAATCATGTTGTTTCAGCTTTGTGGAAATGTCGTTTACGTTATGCAGTCGTTTTGTTATGTTGCCGTTGGTTTAAATATTTTTTTTTCATTCCTGCAGGCTACACCATTCCTTCGACATCTCCGTCAAAGAAGCAACAGCAGCAACAACATTCATCCAAGTCATTGAAGGACAAGTAATGAACGCGAACACGAATATGAGTATGAAATGAATGCATGTGGAAATGTGGATATATACGTATGAATGAATATTCATACAAAAGCAAACGAACACACGTGTATGATACATATGGATATGTAAGTATAATATGAATTTGTACATATGAATATATACTGTACGTGTGCATATGTACTTGGACGTGTATTATGCACATATATTTGTGTCTGTGTGTGTGTGTGTTGTGCATGTGTGTGGTGAGGTGTGTGTGTGTGTGTGGTCTGTGTGTGCGTGCGTGTACGCGTAAAGTTATTTACAATTTGTTTTTTAATCGAAACTTTATTTTTCAAACCGAAAGATAATAATTTTATAATTTATTTTTAAAATAATAACTAAATTAATATACTTCGTTACATTTGTATTTCACTCAACCTTTTCTGCAAGCACTGATAGCGCGCTCACACACGGACGGATGTATTTTTAGAATGTTGTTCGTTTACCCACGCTGTGTGCTTGCTGATTGGTCAATATTTTTTATATATTTTTCTCGTCTTTAATTTTTTTTTAATGTCTTCAATATTGTATTTTAGTTTGTCAATGTTTGTTTTTATGCTATGTAACAGACGCGGTTCATCATTTCTTGGCACCAAACTGCAATATATGAGGTCAAAGAAATTAAAGTTCGTAAATTTTCTACTTGCAGCGAATAGGATCATAAGAATAATGTTTTAATTTTTTATGTACTAGTGTGTATGCTGATTTGATTAACTTCTTTGTAAGTTGTAAAGTTTGTGGTGATTTAAATCTGGAAATATAACACAACATCATAACCCACCAATCTAGAGATCTGTCAAAATTCACGTTCATTCTTCTCTCTCCAATTCTGCGTCTCTTGTACTTGTTTGTATTTTATTTTCTGAATTTAATTATTCGCTGTTTTTTCATTTATCTGAAAATTACCCTCGAATCTATTGTTGAGTGTATTTGTATTTACGGGTCGACTGGTTGATTCTCGCGGCACTGGTGCTGCAGTTGTTATGGGCTGCTTGGTCGTGTCTTCATTAGCGGAAGTCGTTGCATGTGTTGGTGCTGGTGAATTACATGGTTTGCTATCTGCTAGTCGAGGGCACGTCGTATGTACGTTCATAAAAATGTTTTGAATTGTATCTATCCATTCATTTTCCTTTTGTTGCGTTTTCTCCCGCCTCTCTTACACATACGTCTCCACACGCACACAAACACTATATATATATATATGTATATAATATATATTTATATATATGTATTTATATATATATATATATATGAATGGACTAGCATTTATATATTTATCTATATAGTATATATATGTATGTATGTATGTATATAATTATTGTTTTGCTTTTTGGTTAAATGTTATTACATTTTCCTCAATACATTGCATCCATGCGCTCGTTGATAAGTAAGTATTGATTTGAAAGCGTTTGTGGGCTTTTGAACGTGGCTCAATTAACAGCCAACCCACTTCATCCTTCCAAATTGAAACATTTGCACCTATTGAACGTATTCTGCGTTATTTTCCAGAACAGAAGATTTTTATTTAAAATTTTCAAGATCCGAAAATATAAAAATGTCATTACGTTATTTGTTCGGGAATGTAAGAAGTTCACGCTACTTAAATTTTAATATGTTTTGACGAGTTTCATCATTTTTATGTGTTTTGATGTTCTCACTATTTAATGCATGAACGCTTTTTGGACGGATGTCAAATTTATTGCGTTGGTAACTTTTATTTTTTTGTGTTATTTCAATATAGGCTAATTTGATTGATTCTATTCTGTGCATGTTTTAAATAAGTAATTTTAGAGTTAATATGAATCATATATATATATATATATATATATATATATATATATATATTACGATTAGAATTTATAGAATATTGTAAAAATTATGGTCTATTACCAACATATATATATATATATATATATATATATATATATATATATATAATGAATGATGTGTTTGTGCACAGGCATTGACAATCTCATAAATCTCAACTCAGGTATTGCTGTTCCGTGCTGTACCCTCGTGCTCGTCTCATCGCCAACAACACTTATTTCATCGTCGCAACTCTGTCATTCTAATTCGTTTTCATTGTGCGTCTGGTTCAATTGTACATTTGTGTTTACATTAAATTTTAGTTTATGCTTAAAGTTGGAACAAAATTTTGATGAATTTTTGTAAATATTCGCAGTACATGAATTGTTAGTATTATTGCAGAACGTTAAATCCAATCAGTTAAATTATTAAATTAATTACATGTCAGCGAATTGGACTATTTGTTAAATTTCGTTTCAATAAAATTAAGCATGTAATGCAGTTCACGTGTCAACATAGAGAGAATAATTATTCAACAGAAAACTCCTAACTTAAAGCAAATTGTTAGAGCAAAATTGAACTTGATTTGACTCAAAATTTTTCGACTGTGTTAGATTTACAGTTTGTAACATTGTCGTGTTTAACTTATCGTTTCCGTGTTTTGTTTTTAACTGAATAATATAAAATCTAACCATTGTTGTTTCAGCGTGTTTTTTTTTGAAAAATTTCAATAATTGAATTATTTCAATTACGGTAAAGTAAACACGCTCCTTAATGATTATTAAAGATGATCTTAATCTTTCCAATTGAAGTCGTAATTGTTACTTTCGTCTGCATCTCTTGAAACTACTTTTTTCGTGTTCATGTAACCTTCCAGAAAATTAGGCATCTTCTGAGGCCATCTGCTTTGACCACTCGTTAGAAGATGGAAAGAATGGTTAGGATGGTTAAGGTTAATGGTTAGTTAATTCACCTTTTTACTACTTGTGGATCCAAGTTGCCAATTTTTTTCTACTTTCTTTAAAGTCCAAAGACCCTAGGCAGCTGTCTGGTTTGGCTACGCTGGTCAACGGCTCTGCAACGAGTCGTTGGCAGGCCTAGTTTTAAATGTTATGTTGCGGTTTTGTAGTGACTTTATGCTGCAATGGAGTGTGACAATGTTAAATCTGTTGATTAGTGTTTTTAAAGATGTTTACGTGTTTTTGTCATTCATTGTGTCACAAACAAAAACGTATTTGTTTTTTCATGTCATAAATTGCTTGATGATACAACCATCACTGTTTTTCATTAATTTTTTAACTGTTTAGGAAAATTTAACAAAAGTATAATTAAACTTGACAGCTGGCACCTGGTTTTACACCTGAGTTGTTGCTTAGCAACAAATGCCAAACGACGTTAGTGGCAATATCATCAAAGAGAGAAACATTATGAAGAAATTGCCATTATGAACAACAAAAGTGAGTCTAATGTTAATTGTTGAGTTTCAGTTTATCTTTATTAGCCAAATTTACACATTGCTACATTGATGGAATCTTTTTTAAATTATAATCTTTAGTTGTTGATGTTTTGTGGATAAATAAAATAAAAGTTATCATCATGTTTATCTGCAAGATCAATTGAAAGAGAGATCGCTAGTGCTGACGAAAAATGATTTAGGACGCTTAGAGAAGCAGCTTAACATGAAAAATGTTGCGCTAGAAAAAACAAGAAAGCAGTTGGAAGAGAGGCAAAGATTACATGAGCTATCACTGCAACAAGTCAGCAAATGGACAGACACAGTCCTGGTAACAGCTCTGAAAATTTTTTAATTTTCTATCTTTTGATAGTTTTTTTATTCGATAAACGTTTTTTAAAATTTGTTTCAATTTAATGACAAAAAATGTTTGTGAAAATTTAGTTGAATGAGAGATAGTTTAATAAATGAAATAAAAAAACAACTTTAGGGCCTGCGACAGAAGAAATTGGAAGCTCGCAAACAAAGAGAAGAAGATGAGGAAAGGGAAAGAAGACAGGTGGATGCAGAGGAGGCCAAGTATCAAGCCCAGCAAAGAAAAATTACTATTGAAAAAGCGAAGAAAGAACAATTCTTCCATACGGATAAAGTCAAAAAGTTACATGTAGGTTGCGTTTCTTGTGTATATGAGTTTGTGTGTGTGTGTGTGTATGTATGTATGTGTGTATGTGTGTGTGTGTGTATGTGTGTGTATGTGTATGTGTGTGTATGCGTGTGTTGTGGGAAGAGAACCCCCTATCAAGGTTGTGTCATTTTTATTATTTTTTGTGCATTTTTCACATTTTTCTTTATAAATTAAACTTAAAGATGTCATCGAAAATTTTTCAGAGTGCTTTACTACTAACTGAAGTTTTGAAAGAAAGGGAGAATCAGATAGAAATAAAACGAAACCTCGATTGCTATGTGAAACATCACGAACAGGTTAGCGCCGAACAGATGCGTAAGGAATACGAAGAATTTATGGAGAATGAAAAAAGCAAGTTCACGCTACAGCGTCAAATAAATAAAGAAACCTTTGAAATACAAAAGTTACAGTAAGAAAAATTCATTTTATTTTATGTAACCAAGTTGCACATTATTCCGAACAACATTCCGAAGTTTCGTAATGAGAAACATTTGCTGAGCAATTACATTCATTAGTGATTACAAAGTTCACTACTAAATGTAACTTCGTTGACGCCTTCCAAAGAATTCATATGTTCTGTTAAGAATTTTAATGTTTGAAATTTCATCATTTACGATCAGCAAGCGCAGATTAGTTTTGTATTTTGGACCCATTCAAAATACTTTAACAGAAATTTTTTAATAATAAAAATTAAAAAAGTAAAAATGTGTGAATATATTAAATTATTTTTTACGCCATGTTGTATGAAGGATGGGAGAAAAATTGAAGAAAATTGAAGAGGAGAAGAAGGAGTTGGAAAAGGAAGCGAATGAACTGCAGCAAGTAACAGAAACATTCAACAAGCAAATTAAAAAAATTAAGGAAATGAAGAGATTAACATCTGAACAACAAAAACGTGATAATTTGAAACAAATGGAATTAAATAAAGAAAAACTTTTGAAAGAGTTGGAACGGGACGAGGTGCGTAACTGTATAATTGTTTCAATAATAAAAATAACTTTTATGAGATTTATCTAAAATTGGGAAATTCTTTTCTTATCTGATACAGAAAGAAAATGAAAATTTAAGAAATTTTGCTATTACAAAGCAAAAAATAATGAGAACAAGAGCTGAAAAAGAAATACAGCTACGCAGGTTTGTTTTGCCAATACCTACCTACCTTACAGTGCATAATAATTTAGTCAGCGTGGTGCCGATTATTTCAGAGTATTTTCATTACGTTATTAAAGAGAAAAACAAGAAAATCTGGAGAAGATAATAGAGCACATGACTGAGCATCAAAAAATGAAGGCGGAAGATGACGAGGAGCATATAAAGAGGGTCCTTCAAGAGGAAGAACGCAAAGTTCAATTGAGGGAAAGTGAAGTGAAAGAAAAACAATTGCAAATTAAGGAATCCATTGAAAAGCACCGAGTAGAACAGGTTCACTCAGTTTGCTCGTTTGTTTGGTCGGTTTGTTGTTTTTTGGTTGGTTTGTTTGTTATTTGTTTGATTGGTTTATTGGTTAGTTCGTTCGTTTGTTTGGTTGGTTAGTATGTACGCTCCCACGTTGAACGAATGTAGATGCTTACGAGCATTCAAACGTGCACTTACGTTTTGTTTAGGCATTCTGCATGATTATGTTAGGTATACACATACAAGTACACACGCATGTTCATCTATACGCGAGCACCCACAAACAAATACTAAGAGGCACATATTCGTATACATACTCGCATGTTAATTACGCAATCGTGAGATGGGTAGGCGCCACATTCAGCAAACCTCATTAGCATGTATGCTTCACTGCCTATGGTTCAACGCGTACAAGTGAATACCAACGCAAACCACTTTCTTGGCCACTTTCTTACAAGCTTCCAAATGTTGTACGACGAGAACGCCAGGCTTTTTATTATGTATTTTTATTATGGTTTTTGATAAGTAACGTACAACATCAAAACAGGAATAAATGTTGATTGAATTTGAAATAATTCTTTTGAGTAAAATAAACAGTAACTGTAAAATGAAACCACATTTAATTACATTTGTCGGCAGGAAAAAGTAAAGCTAGCTGAAAATTTGAGAAAAAAGGAAGAAGAACTTGCATTTTTGAGATTGGAGGCTGAAAACGACGAAATTAAACTGCGAAATGAAACCAGAAAAAAACAGCTGCAACAGGAGAAAGCGATTCAATTAAAAAACTTTCACAAAAGCCAAGTGGTATATAAATTTAGTTTTACATTTGAAATATTATATAAACAAATTAAGTTTAAAGCTATCAGTTTAAATTGTTTGAAGAAATATGGATTAATGATTTATTTCAGAACGAGCGCTTGGCTTTAGAAAAATTGAAACGTGATCGAGAGTATGAAGAGGAGAGAAAAAATATGCAACTGAACGTGGAAAGGGAAAAGAACTTTCAAGAGTACGCAACTCTGGTTATAGCAGATTGCGAAAATAAAGGAAGAAGCACGAAGCTTTTAAAGAATATGCTGGCTAAAGAAGGCAACATTATCGATGATAATAATCGTCTGATCGGCCAAATTAACGAAAAACACTATTATAAAAGTTCAGATTTGAAAGGCAACTTTTTGCCCAAATTTCAAAATCACGTGACAGATGACACAAAAAGATACCAAAATGGAAGCATTGCAAACGACAAAAAGTTGGGCCTAGTGTGGTGAACTATTTTGAAGATCATGTTCTTTATTGTTGTATAGTTTATTTGGTTCTTTATAATACAAACAACAACAAACTTTTAAACACCTTTTGCTCTGTTTACTATATAAATACAAAATTTTAAAATCGAAACACTTGCCAATTTTGTAAAGCGACAGTCAAAATAATTTATATAAAAAATGAAATTATTTGTTAGCATCATGTTTTGTTTGTTGATAATATTTAAATAAACATATTAAAAAGTAAAATTTTTTTATTTATTTAAATTATAAAACTGAATCTTGGACATGAATATCACATTCTAATGAATTTAGTACTGGTGTGATTTGGAAAGACAATCGACTTCTGTCAATAATTCCCAGTTCCGATTCAGGGAGGGATGATGAGGACTCCGATCCCTCTGGCAGAATCGTCAAAGCTCGACTTGCTTCTGAAGCCTGAAGACCATACGGAGTTCTGTTTTTTTGCTTTTCTAATTTAGTGGCTGGGAAACCTTTGGCAGGATTAGTTTTTGGACTTTTTTTGAAAATATTTCTAACACCATTTTTGTAAATTTTTCTGCTTTTTTCATTTTCACGGCCAACATAACTTGATGTTTCATTAAGACAATCATCGTTGAAGTACGAATTTTCTACATCGGAAAAAGTTTGATGGTCAGTTGTTGTTTCGTCAAACGCGTTAACGTTTCTGGAAGATTCATCTTCCTCAAGAGGGCTGTACCTGGACGTTGTATTATTTTTTGTTGTGCGCTTCGGAGGACTACTACCAGCAGATAGTTTCGATTTTCTTCCCTGATAAACGCAGCATAACGCAATGGAAAGAAATAAAACGACGGCGAAGGATAATGATAAGCACGCCAACAACAATGCTTCTCTAAACGCAGGACATTCTAAGCTGGACGGATCAAATGCAAATATCGATGTACCTATGTAGTTACTAGGTCCCGCACATTTGTGAAAATTTTTGTTTTCGTCTACAAAACCAGAAGTTATTAACCATAAGGCAAAATCCGGGAGAGAACATGAGCAATAGAAGGGGTTACCTGAAACATCCAGCGACTTCAGACTGCTGAGTGATGAAAAACATTGAGAATTAATGTCAACAAAATGATTGTTAGCAAGATCAAGCATTTCCAAATTGTGGAGGTACTGCAATTTATTCAACTCATCGCAGTCGTCTAGGCGATTTCCATCAAAATAAAATGTGTGCAGGTCGTACGTTTTGTGAACTAAGCCACCTGGTATATATTCTAAATTATTCTCGCCTAAATCTAAAACTTTCAAAAATGATTTTGTTAAAAAAATTTTTGCTGTTTGACCATCACTATCACCCAATTTGTTATTGCGTAAATACAATTCTTCCAAATCGTTTAGATGATTAAAAACAGAATGATGAATGTGAATGATGTTTGAATCGCGTAGATTCAAAATGCGTAGAGAGGTTAGTCCATTGAAAACTCCTTGCTTCAAGCGAAACAGGTGTTTGCATTCTTCAATATACAATGTTGTTAATGCGCTCAAATGCAAAAAGGAATCAGCCTCAATTTCTTCAATTGGGTTATGAGAAAGATCCAACTGGTGCAGCTTTTTTAGCGATTGAAACATGCTTGTACTGATACTCGTCAGCTGGTTATATTTTAAATCTAACACTTCTAAATTAGGAAATGTGTGATCATTAAAATTAATCGAGTTTTCAGTGTTTGACAAACGATTGTTAGAGAAATCGAAATATTTCAAACGTTTCATAGTAGCTCCATGAAAAAACTGGCAATTAGATCCACGAGCACACTTTATAATGTTATTTTTTAATGACAACTTCTCTAACGCGTGTAGACCCTGGAAAGCATTTAGTGGTAATGAAGATATATCACAATATTCGATGTACAGTTTTGTCAAATGCTGGAAGGAATTGAAAATTTTATCTGGCAATCGACCTCGGAAAGCCATAAAATTCCCGTCCATGTTCAATGTTTTAAGTTGAGAAAAATTTAAATGACGGAATGAATCGTGTGTCAGCCGTTCACTTGAAACGTCGTTCACGAATATTCGCTCCAAATTTAAAACTTCTACATTACTATTGTTTAAACCGCGCAAAATATTTTCGAACGTTGCTAAGGAAATGTTGACTCCTGTAAAATCGAGATCAGTTAAATTTTCGGAATCTCTAAATGCACTGCCATCTGCATCTGAAATTGAGCAATCAGAAACATCAACGTGCCTCAAGTATTTCAAGGAAGTTAGCGGCATTAGGAACTCTTCAGTGAAGTTTTTGATGGACATGGAACTGAACGCGAATCCTTCCAAATTTGCAAAGTTGCTTATGTACGAAGGTAGAGTTGAGGCGTTAGAATGGAAGATTGTTTTGCTCAGATCCAAAAGCTTCAAAGTCGTGAATAACGATGGTTGAAGTAACGCCGAAATGCATGCTTCGTCGCTAATGATTATTGGATTGTTGGACAGAGTCAGCCGTTCTAGATGCAAATTATTGAAAAATAGATCTGCTGGTAATCTATCAATTTTGTTGAAATCCAAATGAAGGTATCTCAACTGTAAAAATTTTGAAAACGTGTTTGAACTTAAACTGGACGAGCTGATGTTATTTCTACGGACGCTCAATTCAACGATATCCAATTTTAATTCAACGTCACTTTCGCTGCTGCCGTGCTGATGAAGTTTCAGCTCAGCAACCCATTCGAAATCTAAACTATCCAGACTGTTGATATCCAAGTTTAAAATTCTTGTCAGGGGCGAAAGTTTGGGAATTTTTGTTAATTTTTCATTGGAGCAGACGACCATGAACTTTTGTTTGTTGCAGTGGCAGTTTTCAGGGCAGGGGAACTTGTGGAGAGTGCCATCTACCGTCATTATGATGGACAAGATGGTGGACAACAAAAGGCTCTTCACCATGACCAGCATCACGAGTTTCAACGTTTTCTTGTTCATTCTCGTTAATGGTTAATTATTTTGAATATTTATCCAACTTGTTTTTTTAAATAAAAATGTCGTTTTTCATTATTTTAAGTTTTTTAAGTTTAAGGTGAATGTAGATTTTTATTTAATTTTCAAAATTTATAATGAATATCACACCAAAGTATTAAACAAACTCGAAATTTTAAAAATTAACAACTTTTGATAATATTGAATTAAACTTGAACATTTTATTTAAAATTAAAAAAAATTTTATTTTATCAACTATCAGCTTTTAAAATATTAAATTAATTCAAACTAATTTTTTATTCCAGTATCACGTAATTCGTAATCATAATAATGTAAAATACAGAAAGCAGTGTTAGGAAAAATTAAAATTAAAACTGCTCTTTTGTTAACTATTCAAGATATTTGACAATTCCCTGATTAAAATAATTTTTCTCTAACGCAGATGTAAGAAAATCACACCGCAACAAAAATTTATATAAGGAAACTAAGAGATAAAAACCTTACGCACACTTCATATATGTACACACAACCAGCCTGGCGTACAGCATATGTTGGCATACAAATTGCTCATACGATTTCATACAAACACCACTTTCATACATACATAGTGCAGATACAAACACACATGCCGTGTGTGTACGTATGTATGTACTTGTGTATATCGTATACCAGTTCGGCGCTCTACATACTTCCATACAATTTGTACAATAATATTGTTCAGTATTGAGTAATGTCATACATATATGTAATATATATATATATATTTTACTTACACGCGTACATGTATATATATATATATATATACATATACATATATACATACATACATAAATTTTTTTTTTCCAGAATTTTATTCGAAAAGAAACAGGAGGATCATATATACGAAAGCATGTGCTGACCACCTTAACTAGTTGTGCATAAATACATAAATACATACATAAATACATACATACATGCATATATACATACATACATACATACATACATACATACATACATACATACATACATACATACATACATACATACATACATACTTACATACATACATACATACATACATACATACATACATACATACATACATACATACATACATACATACATACATACAAACATACATACATACATAAATACATACTTGATGTTTGACGGTTCAGTGTCACTCATCATGTTTTGGTTTTAACATACATACATACATACATACATACATACATACATACATACATACATACATACACACACACACACACACATACATACATACATACATACATACATACACACATACATACATACATACATACATACATATGTACATGCAATATATTTATTAAGATACAAATTTATAAACCAAAAATACACGCACAATGTCTTTTGCTCTAAACGTCCGACTGAAAGAAATACGTTACGGATGAATACTTACTAAAAAGACGCGTGGATGATTTTGAGAAAAATACTCATATCACCTTAGACCCATAAAAAACAAAATGTGTATGTAAATGGTTACTACACTATGTATGTACAAACATCATCTGTATTGTACACACTTGTGTACAGTGCGTTCTTGTGCCTGAAATCTTTGTCTACAGCTACGTGGTGCTACCTGATTCACACGATACATCCAACATGATGGAAATTAATTCCAACCGCAAGCAGTCTTGAAAACAAATTGCCATCCGTGTAATACAAATTATTCCACACACACACACACACACACACACACACACACACACACACACACACACACACACACACACACACATACACACACAAACATACACACACACACAAATATACACATAGAAAAAACCATTAACTATATAGATCTATTATAAACACATAATGGTTTCGGAGTGTGCAGTAGAGTGTTTCTAAAGTACGCGCTGTTACATCCCCACACGTTCATTCCATTCGATTGTTTTCAACCTCACATCACATATTTGTATTATTTTAAAGGATGCAACTGATTAATCATCTTTTAATTACCATAACTGTATCTTACGGGTTCATGTGCTGTACCTCATGTTTGTACTGTACCTCATGTCTGTACTGTGCTGTACTGTAGTGTACAGCATGTTTGCATTGTACTACACGATTGTACATTTCCACATTTTTGTACGGCATGAATGCCAATGTTTTAGGTGCACTAGTGTGGTGGAATAGTATTTGTATAAACAACATGTACGTGTGTGTGGTGTGTGTGTAAGTGTGTGTGTGTGTGTGTGTGTGTGTTGTGTGGGTGCAAATGCATTGCATAGAAAAAAAACATCCATTCATCCACCCAATTAAAACAATCAAACCAATTCTTCTGTTTCAGTGCATGCAAACGAATTTGTTTGTCTGTGTTTATATGTGTGCACCATGTTCTTTATTGTGTTATGTTGAACCTTCACCCATAACGCATGTTTTTTCGTCATGTTTGCTCGTCATATTTGTTTGTCATTTTCGTTTCTTTACTTCCACAAATATCCTGTTTCTACAGCAAAGCAGTCATCTTTTCGTCCACCAAACATAAATTATTCTAAAAATATGCCGGCTGCTTATCATCTAAATGGAACAGAAAAATAATCGTACAAATCACAGCAAGTAGACAGAGAGACAAACAGACAGAGAGACAGACAGACAGATAGACAGACAGACAGACAAACGTACAAAAAGACAGACAGACAGATTAAATATCGTTCAACTGATGGTTGAAATTTGCAGTTGCACTTTGATCATCTTTTTACGACGTATTTTGCGTGCCTGTGTTTACTGTTTTGCACTATTTCATTTTTTCGGGTTTTGTATAATTAGATAACTTTTGAAGTAGTACTTGCAGATCCACTTAAAAATTATTAAGATATCTCTATCCGTAGGCTTGGAAAATCTTCATTTGAAAACTTTTTCATCTCAAGTCAAAAAAAAACTAAACAGACTGTACGCTACCTCTGTGCTCATGAAAGTTGAAAATGTTGAGAAACTTTGGAAAGATGTATGTATGTAGATGTGTTTATGTATGTATGTGTGTGTGTAGTACGTATGTATGTATGTGTGTGTGTAGTACGTATGTATTTATGTATGTATGTATGTATGTATGTATGTATGTATGTATGTATGTATGTATGTATGTATGTATGTATGTATGTATGTATGTATGTATGTATGTATGTATGTATGTATGTATGTATTTGACATTTTTTTGACATTTGACATTTTATTTCATCAAATCAAACAATGAAATCAGAAAAATGAAATCAATGAAAGGAAATGATCTGGAAATCAAAAAAGAAATCTGGACTTCTTGTACTGACTTCATGTATGTATGTATGTATGTATGTATGTATGTATGTATGTATGTATGTATGTATGTATGTATGTATGTATGTATGTATGTATGTGCGAGCCCTTGGTTAAAAACAATAGCCATAAAAACTATCATTTCGCCCCTGCTCAACAGATAATATTAGTGTACAGGGTCTCGCACAGAAGGGCACTTAGCAATGTCCTCTAAAATACAAAATGAATTAAACTTTTGTAACAACAACGATATATTTTGCTTTATATAAATTTTATCATTGGGATCACCAGATTTTTCAACTATTTTAGTAGCAATGTTATCAAAAAATAATTGTGTCTGTTTATCCACTGGGCCAAATGTCTCCACACAGATCGGAACAAAAACTCTCGTATTGTCGTTTAAATCTTTGTATGTATGTATGTATGTATTTATGTATGTATGTATGTATGTATGTTAAAACCAAAACATGATGAGTGACACTGAACCGTCAAACATCAAGTAACAAATGGATTAACACTTTGATTTGTCTTTAATTGCACATGTCGGCATTCAGTTAGATATTTTCAAGCACACAGACACGCAAGAACCGCTGCAACAAGCACGAAATGTGGTTAGTTGCGAAAAACAGTTCCCTGCTCTCGCCTGATCTGACGCTGATCATTTTACATATTGCCTTAAGAAATTTAAGGGTGTTGGGGCCCATCGGGCCGAGAACCTCGATACATATTGGCAAGAATTCCATCGAGGGCAGGGCGTGTATGTATGTATGTATGCATGTATGTATGTATGCACGTATGTATGCATGCATGTGTGTGTATGTATGTATGTATTTGTTGCTCATCAAAGTCCGTCGTCGATAACGAGATGTTTGTTCTTCATAACTGATCAGATGAATGCATTGATGTACGCTTACAATTGAATTACATTTATCGCCAACCGACAATTAAATCTTATTATCTTAATATATTTTCTATTTCCATTTTTTCCTCATCAATTGCATTTATGTTTGGATGGCAAGGCCCACAACGGCCACACATCATCCAACATACATTGCCGGCGCGTCTAGGATAGGATCAAACCATCAGCGGGCCCCGGACGCAACAGCAAAAAATTATTTACCTCGTTATCAAATAATTGTTTGATTGAAAAACATGTCACTCATTTTTGTCAGTTACATGGATTGACATCAAACGAAGACTTATTGGCATGTTGCTAAGTTGGAATGATTATAAACTGGATCAACTCAGAAATGTTTCCTCTCGTTGATCAATGAAATGTAATTTTTTAAACTAAAACCTACAACTTTATTACCGAATTCGAACATCTCAAGCACGCACATGCAGCAAATGTGCTTCTTATCAATTAAAAACACAACCGCTAAAATTAATTAATGTTGATGCTCATGTTGATGATGATGGAAAGTTTATATAAGATAAGAGAAATAATTATTAACTTGCAATTAGAAGAGGAAGTTATGATGAAGTTCTATGTCCATTAAAATGTTTCAAGTGCATGACACGTATGTTCATAGACAGATATATACATACGTACATGCTGGTATTTCAAGTTCATTTTTTGATTAAGTTTTTTAATTTTAGAGTTGAGATACTTTTGCGATAGTCCAAATTTATCATTTTTAAAGATATTAATTGAAAAAGGTTATGAAACTAAATGTCGCCAGATCAGATTCATTCTATATGAAATACACATCTCCCAGTCGTTAGTTAACTTTCAAATTAACTAAAACCTTCTGTTTGCAACTGAAGATAACATCGATTCAAAAAAAGCTGGCTGTTGTGAACAGTTCGTTAAAAATCAATGCAAGATGTTGAAAGTCATTGAAAGGCATAATTAGATAGCAGTGGTTAAAAAACGTTCGTTCGGTGAACATTAACATTTGACAAAGAAATGACTAAGCGTTTTTTATTTTTTTAACGTGTATCTGAAGATGTTGGGATTAATGTTCAGTTTTGTTTTGAACAAGTATCTGTAAGAAATTTTGAAATAAAATTATTTGTCTCATAAAAATTTGAGAAAATCAAAAACCGTTGAGAGCTTGAGAGTGCCCTTCGTAGGCACTTCAACATGGACGACGATCACGGCGGAGGGCATTTTTATTTTCTCACTAACTTGAAGTGTTAGTGGCAACCGTGCATTTCCATGGGCAAACATGTGTAAACATAAACAAACATGTGCAAACAGATTATTAACAAACAAACAAACAAACAAACGTGTTAATCTGTATTTTTTAAGGGAATGTGGATGAGTGTCTGCTAGGGTTAGGAGACGTTTGAGAGTCTGTTGAGCGCTACAAAGATGGATTAAAACTTCCTTCAAAAATGTTTCAAACTGATCCGACTATGTGAACATGTGATCATGTGATCAATTGGTCATGTGATTCCTATCATATCCTGACATCATCGTGCACTTCCTGAGATGAAGTGTTCACATTGAAGCAGAGCATGCATGGCTCTAATGCCATTAAGCTATTGATGTCAATTGGAATGTGAAAATAAAAAGATAGTACATTAGATATCGTAGAGTGGTTTGTAAAAATGAAATATTTTATGTTACCAGCAAGCAATCAAGATAGCGAGAGTGAATGAATCATTGTAGGTAAGGTACGTACGTATGAAAGTACAATGTTGTTATTTGCATGTATGTGCATTGTACTATTTGTGTGTGTGTGTGTGTATGTACGTGTGAGTACGTACGTACGCATATGTGTGTATGATGTAAAGATGGATTTAGAGGTTACACGTGTTGGAAACATCTGCCTTGATGCAGTGCACAATTAGCAGATGTGAGGTTGTATCTACGCACGTCTGCATGCATTCATCTTTATTTGCCTCTTTGTCTGCATGTTCGTCCGCTTGTATGACGCTTGTGTACTGTTTCATTTCATTGCAGGTTCGCTTGAATGGACTGCTACTCGTCTGTTACCCGCTCATATTCTGACCCGCCCAAATTATGATGCAACAATCGCAATTAAATTGATTATTATTTATTAAAGTGAGATGTTTGAGTGTTGTTGCGTTTTAATAGATACATTTTCAAATATTTATGTAACAGATTTTTACAAAATGATTTCAACAGTATTAGACGAAACATAAACAATAAATGCCTGCAATAGCCCAACAACAACATCGTGATCTCATCGTGAATTCATGCCAATGAATGCTAGCTCATCGTACCATCGCCTTCATTCCTTTGTGAACATTTATGCGAAGAAATAGTTCAATAATAAAGTGCATATATACATTAAATATATGATATGACGTGAAATATATAATTATACTAATCATACAATCACACACACACACACACACACACACACACACACACACACACACACACACACACACACACACACACACACACACACACACACACACAAACATCATTAGCTCGTTATTCAACAACTAAGCAGTTCCTAAGTGTGTTTTATAAACCACCGTACATACATACATTTGTTGTGCATGCATTTCTCTCACAAATACAATTCACAGAATAATGCACAAAAGTTGTATGCTAATTAAGTTGAAGAACGTGTGCTAGATCCATCTTGAACTAAGCAGGCCTAAATAAATTTGTATTTAATTGTGTGCACATTTTGGGCAAGTTAGTATATATGTGTGTGTATGCTTAGCGTATGCGTGTGCGTGCGTGTGTTGTAAGTAAGTAGTAATAAATAGTATGCAGCTTGTTGCTGTTAGGTGTCACGTACAGTTGGCTGCTTTGTTTGCACTGATGTGTCAAGGTGAAATCTGAAATATTGATGTGCTGCTTAGACCGCAGACTCCTTTGTGTGATGGAAAGTTATTAATATATGGTATGTATGATGTGTTTGTTTGTTCTTTGCCGAGCTGTGCTGTGCGTTGTGATGTTGTTGAAACTACATTAGAGTTTTTAGAAAAATTTGCTTAGAAGTGACAGGATATGAATGTTGTTGAAATACACAGGCATTAACTATTATTTGTGCTACATAGCAACAAACACCAACACAACACAACAAAACAGAACGGATACAAATCTTTTTCCTGAAACATTTCAATCATTTTGCGATCGACTGCAAAGGCGTGAATGTGACGAAGCAATTAATTTGATGTCAAGGAAAGCTGGCTTTCCATTTTTGTAATTTAAAAATCCAAATAATAATAATAATAACAAAAATAACAATAATAATATAGTCATATTATTATTTATTATTAATTATTATGAATAATTATAACGATAACAATAATGAATAATATTTCTTATTAAAATTATTATCATTTTTACTATCATTTATAGTCATAAAATTTAAAAATAATTACAATTTATTACTACTACCTCTACTACTATTAAATATTAATTGATATTATGTCTGCCGTTCTGCATGAAAAGATTTATTAAATATCTTCATGTTTTTTTTATTTTCAGTCACACTCGTCCTCCTCCTCTTTGCTCTCTCTCTCTCTCTCTCTCTCTCTCTCTCTCTCTCTCTCTCTCTCCTTCTCACACACACACAAACACGCACACACACACACACCTAACATACCAACCAATACAATTAGGATAGCTTATTTATTTCTTCTTACGTTGGCCAGTCTTTTCACAATGGATAATTATATTACATTGTGTTGATTTCTCAGTTATTTTAGTGTCTTGGTTATTATGTACCTATAGAAGAATTGTTGTTTAATTGATGTTTAAATATGAATGGATAATAAGTGAATGCACTTCAATGACAACGACTGTACAAGTGTAATCACTGAGCATGGTTGAGGCATTCAAGTGTCACAGTTCGGATATTTTTCATTTGACTCTGATACCCTGCTAACATTTCCAAGCTGTTAAATGAACCATGACAAACCCTAGAAAAAGACACCCTGAACTTTTTTATATTAAAAAGTAACGCAAAGGCACTCATAAGCCGCATTATCCAAATCTTTCTGTTATAAATCCTAAAAAACGAAACGATTCCATTGAAATAAACTGAAATTTTTTATTTTCATAAGTTTTCTCGTGAATTACCGATAAATTATAACTTCTTCTACAAGGACAGCACATAGAATTATTAATAACATCAGCCACTCCAACATTTCATTTGTAATTGCAACATTTTATAAAAAATAAAATTCATTTTACGCCAAAAAATTATAAACAACTATTTTCATCAATTTGTTTAAGCGCTTATTCAGAATTCAGAATTTTTCATTTTTGCAACGCAGTGGTTATCATTATTATCACTATAAGACATAATTTTTGAAATTCTATAAGCAATTCAAAATAAAGACTAAAAATAATAAAATGTGTGAAACTAAAATGAGAATAACGTAAAATGAGAGGCAAGTCATATTTCAGCCTTCGTGGAACAGCCTCAATCTTCCGAGATTTATATTGTCGAAATTTTGATTGATTTTAAATGGATTATTTGAATTTGGAATTCCAACGTCCCAAAATTTAAAAAATTTGAAAAAATTGAAGATGTTAGGATGGATTACCAGTTGATGAAATCCTATGCATGTTCCTTATCAATCATAAACAGGACCATTGGCTTTTATTTGGCTCTAAAAGCGAAGGATAGCATTCAGCGATACTCATCTTCTCCACAAGAAACATTACAACTTGCAACATGGAATGGACGATGTTATGGATGGATTGTCACGGTGGTGTTGTGTACAAGATGCATGAGGTACATGGGTGTTCGAAAAGCAGCTCCATCAATGATGCATAACGAAGTGTAAAACTGCCTCATCA